GTCGTGTGCCAGGACCCCTCACTATTTGAGAAATTGTGTCAGCACCACCCAAGACAGGCGAAGGGCGATGTGACCACTGTTCGCCAAATCCTTCTTGATCAGTAGCAACCTGATTTGGAGAGGGAGGGGGCATTGAGCAATTTGGGAGGCCGATATCGGGAGAGAAATTTCTGAGGGAGACTGGAAATTACTATGGCAGGTGTCATCCTTCAAATCGGTTTCAGCTCTCGTGAAGGGATAATCACTCGGGTTGATTCATGGGTGATACTTGATTCATTCCAGTGTGCTTGCACCCTATCTACAGCTCAATGTCCATCCCCTGCACAGGTGGTTATAAATCCTGGATTGGCACTTCTTTAATTGTTTTGAGGAGCAAATTTTTGCCATTCGTCTGTCTCGGTAGAGGATGGAAGAATGTGCCTTTGGGAGTAAAGATACATTATTTAAACTTTTAAAGCTACACATTTTGATGGCTCCTTGAATGAAGATTGCATTTCTGTGGAAGAGCAGAATTGGTATGCCGTTTGCAGAACTGGTATGGCAGAGTGTGGACAAAGGACCTCGCGGACGATAACTCAACTCTGTAGAGTCATTAGGGGTGAAATTGAATGAGACAAATTCCATGGCAACTGGTTCCCTTTTATTTCTTTTGTCAGTTCTTACCCCAGATGCAGTGATGGAGGGAGGGGGTGCAGGGTTCGCCCCAGGTGTCATCACTGGGGTGTGTGTGACAAAATGAGTTTGTTTTTTTTAAAAAAAAAATTGGGCTCACGAAACTTTTTAGGAGTGACATGGTGGCTTAGGTGCCTGCAGGTTCCGTGCTGCCACCCTACAACTGAGGGGGAGGTGCCGGAGAGGCTCCAAGCATCGGAGAGGCTCGCCCCACCCCTATAGCCGGATTGCCCCACCCCCGGTTGCAGGACACGCCCCCGCACCAGGCACCCCAGCAGCTAGCTACACCGTTGCCCCGATGAACCCCAACCATCTACTATTCTTTTTAATTTTGGGAGGGGCCTCCTGGTGTTTTAAGTCTAGGTGTGCTATCTCTAGAATACTTTGGTCAACATAATTACCGTATTTTTCACTCCATAAGACGCACTTTTTCCCTCCTAAAAAGTAAGGGGAAATGTATGTGCGTCTTATGGAGTGAATGCAGGAGGGAGGCTCTTGAGGGCTTTTCCCCAGGAGGGAGAAAGGACTGACGTGGTCAGTCAGTCCCTTCTCCCTCCTCGTAGAAAAGCCCGCAGGAGCCGCGCGCTCCTTAAAGGGTGTGTGGCTCCTGTGGGCTTTTGCGGGAGGTGGGGGAATTGCCAGGAGAGACTGCGCGCGGCTATGGCAGAAGGCAAGACAGCCTGCGGGATGGATCCCGCTCACTGTCTTGGCTTCTTTGCTCTTTGGGGCTGGGGGGGGGAACCCAGGCTTCCCCCAGCAGCCCCGAGAAGCTCTGGAAAAAGTGGACAGCTGCTCTTTGGGGCTGGGGGGGGAATAATATTTTTTTAAATTGATTTTCCCCTCTAAAAACGAGGTGTGTCTTATGGTCCAGTGCGCCTTATGGAGCGAAAAATACGGTACTTTTCAAATGTGGATTGTCTTTGTTTTCGTCCATAGCAGTGTATACACCTAAGTCCTGTTGTTTTGCCTGCTTCTTTACTAAGTGGGACCACATTCCTTGCTTCTTTGCTTTCTTTTTTTATGTCATCGGTGGTGTGATTTGTATCGTGTGTAAAAATAATAATGTACCATTGTTGTTTGCTTTGATGGTATTATAAAATTTAATTAGACAAAACTCAAAGCCACTCCCATGGAAGAATGTGATCCTCCGGGAAGTTTGTAAAAGAAGAGGAGGAGACGTGAGGCAGGAAATGCATGACGAGATAAAAGGGAATCTGCTGATTCAATGACATGAAGTAATATTACAATTAAGATTTGGGCACAAATGACCAAAGAGTGTATGGAATCTTGGAAAACAGGTGATCTTTCAACAGCCAGAATATTACTAATCCTTAAAAAAAAAAAGACACTAATTGAACTATATAAAGTTCATTTTAACGAAGTAAGTATACCTGACATTAGAACACTTAATATTGAGACCCTGCCATGGGAGCAGACGGGCTTTAACCCTGATATGTAGCCTGCCATTTGCATTGTCAAAAAGGATCCATTTAAACCATCTGGATCATGATTCCAATGGGACAGAGAGCTTTTTTTTAGCATTTTTATTTTATAAAAGCCATCTAATATATTGTTATGAGTTCCAGACTCCCCTAAATTCCTGGGTCCAACGGGTGTTAGAAATTAATTAAGGCTTGGGATGCTAAGCTGTGTCCTAGACACTTCTAATCCCCGGAATTAGCAAGCGTTTGAAATTCATTAAGGCTTGGGGTGCTAAGCTGCGCCCCATTCAGCACCCAATCATATGCACCCCACACGCCCATTTCCGGCCTATGGCAGGGGCGTGTGTGTATGTGCACGCACACACTCACTCACACGCAGTGATGACAAATAAGACTCCCTCTGGCATCTACACACCTCTCCTCTTCCAGCTGTTAAAGGCCATCTACCTCCTGCCCCATGTTGGGGTTCCAACCCAGTTTGGGGGGCCCATCACTTACAATGTCTTAAACCCCACCACCCTGCAGCCAGCATGGAATTTGAAGAGCAGTGAGAGGGACCAAGGAGGGAAGACCCTTGCAAAGGCTCCAAAGGCCACATCCAGGATCCGCCCTATTTGCCAAGTCAGGATGCGCCCTATTCCCTGAATTAAGAGGATGCTTCGTTGCAAGAAATAAATCCCCCAGATTTCACAGCCTACAATTCTGTATCCGAATTCTGCAAATGGTGGGAGATACCTCAAAAAATCTATAATTCCCAACCCTACACTTCCCATTATTCTTTGGGGAAATCCATGCGCTTTCAACATATTGCATGGAGTACGCAGCCTCCGTCTTGTGGTTCCCAGTCTGGCCAGTATAATAACCAGTTACCAACCCATAACCCAGAGCAGGTACAGTCGTACCTTGGGAGTCGAATGGAATCAGTTCCAGAAGTCCATTCGACTTCCAAAACGTTCAGAAACCAAAGTGTGGCTTCTGATTGGCTGCAGGAAGCTCCTGTAGCCAATCGGATGCCGCGGAAGCCCCGCCGGATGTTCAGCTGCCAAAAGATCATTTGAAAACCAGAACAGTCACTTCCAGGTTTGCGGCATCTGGGAGCCAAAACATTCGAGAACTAAGCTGTTTGAAAACCAAGGTATTACTGTACTTGATGCATTGTGACTTTCAGTTATTTTTATTGATCATAGTTTAAGTAATTATTTATTGTAATTGTTAAGAGTGAATTTCTGTTTAATTATTACAGTGGTGCCCCGCAAGACGAATGCCTCGCAAGACGGAAAACCCGCTAGACGAAAGGGTTTTCCGTTTTTCGATGCGCTTCGCAGAACAAATTTCCCTATGGGCTTGCTTCGCAAGACGAAAATGTCTTGCAAGTCTTGAGATTTTTTTCGCTTCCCCCCCCCTTTTTCTAAGCCGCTAATAGCCGCTAAGCCGCTAAGCCTTTAATAGCCGCTAAACCGCTAATAGCGCTAATCCGCTAAGCCGCTAATAGGGTTGCTTCGCAAGACGAAAAAACCGCTAGACGAAGAGACTCACGGAACGGATTAATTTCGTCTTGCGAGGCACCACTGTATTTGCTGGTGTTCTGAGATTTAATTTTATTGTGTACTATTATATTTAATACTACTTTATTTGATATAAGTCATTCCATTTTAAAGCTATGTTTTATTAGGACGTTTTGCATTGGATCAGATTGTTACATGATGTGTGTTCTTTGTTGTATATTTTGTTGCTGTAAATCGCCTTGTGTATAGTAAAATAGAACGGCAGTATACAAATGTGAAGTGAAGAAAGAAACCTGCTCCCACCCAGTAGCAAGATCAGACCTGAGTTCAAAGCACACTCCTTGTACAGACCTTCCAAGTGTCCTGATTTTCCAGGGACAGTACTGGAATTACAGTGATCTCACTCAAAATGGATGCAATGTAGCCGAAAATTGGTGCCAGTGGTGGCACCAATTCTCTGCCGCTGCCAGAGGTGGTGGGGCAGGCGTGGCACTTGCGGGAGTGCTGCCTGAGGGCTTCTGCCACCTGAGGCAGTGGCCCCACTCTGCCTAAAGACTGGGCCGGTTCTGCTGTTTGGTCCAATTCAGTGGGAAACTGTGGGTTTTCCCTGGGGAAAGCGGCGGAGAAAGCGGAGGTGAGGACATACCTCAGATAAAAGGACTTCAGCAGGAAATCGTTTTGAGGGAAATAAAATTCCCAACGCAGGCCCGTGGATTCATTGCATAATTATTGGCACGGAAATAAGATACTGCACCTGATATCGCAGCAGTCATGTACAACTAACAGTACCCAGTTTGTCCTTCAGCTCAGTAATTGGCACGGGATGGATGCCAGATCGATAGGAATCTTTAAAATAATGGTGACCTTGTTCCTTCCAACCTTTAAACTGTTAGACGTCATTGTTCTTATATTTTGACAAGGATGATTTTAAAAGGGGGTCATATGGAAGAAACCTTTAGTTATCACCTTTCACAACAAGACTCATGTTTTTCAGATGAACGACATAACAACAAAGCTTCAAATCAGGAAAACCCAACCCCCCCTTCCATCATTTCTACATATAAGAGTAAATTTTGCAGTCATCTTCTTTTTTTAAGAAGGTATCTTGCCCAGCCAGAATAACTGAATCTTCCTTCAACTGGATTTAAAAATATATATATATAAGGAATAAAGGATGAATAAATATAGAAACAAAGTGGAAGAATGGTTTAAGATTTAGTACTTCCACTTTATTTAGGTAAATCATGGGGTATTATGAACCCAGGTATTTCAAGAATTCCAAATAATTAGTTAATTAGTTTGTTAGTTCACCCTATGCTCCCACATAATCACCAAGTTGGAAGGGATCTTGAGGGTCATCTAGCTCATCCCCCTGCAATTTTGCGCAACATGGGGCTCAAACCCATGACCCTCAGATTAAGTCTCATGCTCTACTGACTGAGCTATCCTTCAGGGCAGCCATGGAGAAGGCTCCTTTTTCGTTTTGAGACAAGGCGAAGAAGAGATGACATGATACACATTTACTGTATAAAATGATGCATGGCATGGAGAAAGGGGGGGGGCGAAATCCTCCCTCTCTCATAACACCAGAATCTGTGGTCATTCTAGGAAGCTAAACGTTGGAAGGTTTCAGGAGCCGTAAAGAAAAACTTCTCCACACGGCACACAGTTAAGCCATGATGACCACCAGCTTAGATGGTTTAGATAGGATCATAGAATCGTATAGTTGGAAAGAATCCCAAGGGTCCTTTAGTTCTGCAATGCAGAAATCTCAGCTCAAGCATCCATGACAGATGTCCATCCAACTTCTACTTCAAAACCTCCACTGAAGGAGTGTTCACAAACTTCAATTCCATGGTCAAAGAACTCCTCGAAAGATTCCATCACTGGTGTCTCTGACCATTTTCACACATCACTTGGGAAGACAGGCGAACTAATGCCAGTGTACTGGAAGAAGAAAAGATATCCAATGATTCTTCAACATCAGCTTCATTGGACTGGTCATGTTGTACAGATGCCTGATTATCGTCTTCCAGAGCAACTACTCTATTCCCAACTTAAAAATGGAAAGGTGGTGGTCAACAAAAGAGGTTTAAAGAGTCTCTCATGGCAAATCTTAAAAAATGTAGTATAAACACTGAAAATTGGGAAACACTGGCCTGTGAGCACTCCAGTTGGAGAACAGCCTTTACCAAAGGTGTCATGGGCTTTGAAGATGTTCCAACTCAGGACTCAAGGGAGAAACGTGCTAAGAGGAAGGCATGCTTGGCAAACCCTCACCGTGATCAACTCCTGTCCAGAAACATATGTCCCCACGGTGGAAGGACATGTGGATCCAGAACTGGCCTCCACAGTCATCTATGGACTCACTGTTAAAACCGTGTTCATGGAAGACAATCTTACGAGTGATTGCCAAAGAAGAAGACTATCAGAAAGCTCTTCCTAATGTTGAGTTGGAAACACCTTTCTTGTAACTTGAACCCGCTGGGCATTTACTCTGATTCCGTGTTGAAGAGCAGGTTTTCCTTGGGGGGAAGTGGTGGGTCAAGTAGAAGTTGTGGGTGAACCCTTGGCTCTGCTCATTGATTTCAATGGGTCTACCCTGTGTAGCACTACCATTGAATACAATCCTGGCTTTTCAACTTGGGGTCAACTTGGGGCTCTCCAGTTTCAGTGACGCTAAAATTGGGTGCTTCTCGCAGTCTGTTCTACAGCGTTATTTCTGTGGCGCGATACCCGGTTGCAGCTCCCCACTCTCTTAAACCACCTCTGCCCTTCTGGCACATACAGACAAAAATATAAGCCGCAGTTTCTCGATCTATTTATTGAGAGCAAGAGGGGTCTTCTGCCCCAGGAGTTTAGCAAAGCCCGCAAGGGGATTGCGCAGGAAAAGCAGCGGGTGGTATCATCTGATCTGCTGTCCCATTTTCTTTTGTTACCTACAAGACAAGAACGGTTGTGAAACAGGAGCATTAAGTTGGCCTAATGCAGTCCACTCTAAAAGGCTGCAGCCTCTCTCTCCCTTTCCAGCACGATCACCTTTTGGATGAGCCACAAACACCCACTTTTGACTGCCAAACCGAGAAAACTTCCATCGGGTTTCCCCCAATGGATGTTTGCTCCAATTCAGCGGTCAATAGAGCGTTTCCCCCAGGGAAAGCGGTGGGGCAAATGGAAAACTGCTCGGCTTCATGCTTTATAGACATGGGATAAGCCAAGTGTGGACAAGTCCTGAATACGAGACTTCCCTAGTGTTTGACCCCTAAGTCAGGGGCTGGAAAAGTGCTGCCCTCTGGCTGTTGGTGGACTCCAGCCCCCACCAGCCCCTGCTAGCACGAGGATGGGGACAGCTGGAAAAAGGACATCTAGAGGGTGACAGATTCCACCTTCCGACACTTTTTAAAATATTTATAATTTTATTGAGATTGTTCTAGTAGATTAAAGCAAATAAAAAAGGGGGAGAAGGAAGAATAGAAAAGAAGAGGAGGGAAAGAATATATTAGAAACCTTTTAAAAAGCAGGGGGAAACAGCAATAGGAAAAAAAGCATAAAATACAATTAAGGCCACAAAACTAGATAGTATATATGTAGATGGATAAACCTATTGTATATGTTAATCCATGTGTCACTGTGGTTTCGACAAAGACATTCCAAATATCAGTAAATTTGTCCATGCATTATCTTCGACCTTAGGCTTGCAAGAGTCCATTGCTTGCAAGAGTTGTCATATCATCTGTGCATTGATTGATGAGGGCCATATTTTTGCCCTTACAATGTATCAATAGCAATTTTTTACAGATGGGAGGGCATGGAGAATCCATTTGCCTTGACCAATGGTCAAACCCCATAAATTAGGCATCTAGTTTAAGAAGAGGTTATCTTCTGAAGTTTTTAGCTCTTTATACATCCTAATAACATCATTGTTGTCGTTCCCCCACCCGCCCCCAATACCGGACACTGTATAAACCTACGTTTCAGGGAAGTGTTTCCCTTATTGCATCCCTACACTTAACCTGATCCCGAGTCAAGACACTGATCTGACCAGCTGGTGGCGGAAAGCAGTTTTCCATGGGGTCAAGCAGAGAGGAGTCTTTCTGAGTTCTCTTAATGGGAGATGAAGAGACTTGAACCCGTGATCTTCTGCACTCAGAGTATGTGCTCGGCCACTAAGCTATGGCTGCACCCAGAAAAGCACATCCCGAAGACTTTGTTGAAAGAGGAATGCCGTTTGCAGCAGACATTCATCTCTGCAAGTGGATTCTACCCTCACTTTCACCAGCAAAATTCTTAGGGCTTCTCATCTTTTCCTCTGCCCACTGCCCCTCTTACGCAAAGCTTCCTACCCAGAAAGCAGAAAACAGACTAAGCTGCAGACACCATATATCTAAAGCAACACACACACCCCCACAAAAAACCCTCACAGAGCTGCAATTCCAAGCACCCTTAACAAGTTCCCAGGATTCCTTGGGAGTGCTTTAAATGTACTTCCAATCTATGGTGTGTGCCATCACAGAAAGTGTCACTCATGCAACTTGCTCATTGTCCATCTAGAGAACCCAGAACATATCCCAGTATCAGGTGGAGAAGCAGAATAGGGGGAGTAAACCGGGGGTCAGCAAACTTTTTCAGCAGGGAGCCAGTCCACTGTCGCTCGGACCTTGTGGGAGGCTGAACGATATTTTGAAAAAAAAGAAAACAACAACGAATTCCTATGCCCCACAAATAACCCAGAGATGCATTTTAAATAAAAGCACACATTCTACTCATGTAAAAACACGTTGATTCCCAGACCATCCGCAGGCCAGATTTAGAAGGCGATTGGGCTGGATTCGGCCCCTGGACCTTAGTTTGCCTACCCATGGAGTAAACAAACAAACAACAACAACCCTCATTCTCTAAGATGCAGTAGTGATTTGAGGCATCCAGAAGTGGATGAACAGATTGGGCTCTGCCTGCCCCCAAATATCACCTTTTAGGGGCATTTAGTTAAAGCGACATATGTCCTTTTTATTTCTGTGCCCATATTCTGCCACCACACAAACTGCATTGAGTTGCAAAAGGGCCTGCTCCTCTTTATGCCTTGGCCCTAAATGGAATCGATGCCTTAAAGAAATCTCACCTATTGTCTTTAGTCTGCACAGGCCACTGTGGAAACAAACCAACAAAGAAGATTATTGCATCCGTCAAAAATTGCTGGTGGTCCAAAGTGGGGAAACATTGTTTGCTTATTGCTCCGGATGTGTCTGGTGCCTTCATAGCTTAGAAGGCAGCTTGTGTGTGACTCGCCCAGCCCAGCCCCAGCCCAATGGCCTCTAGCTGGACTCCCATCATCCCTGAGCATTGGCCAGGCTGACTCCAATGATTGATGGAGGCAACACCTGGAAGACACCTGTCTGGGTAAGGCAGAAACAGGGCGACATGGCGGTGAACGAACTGGCGAGTTCGTTGTGCAAGAAAAAGGGCAAAGAGATGCAGGAATTCTCCCCACGTGCACAAAATCACATTTTTACACCAGTCTTCACTTCCACAGTTCTTGAATCTGATATCTCCCTTCCCCAAAACTGAGGCCCCCCTGAAAGTTTTTAAATTTCTAATCCCAGTGGAGTTATCTGTTCCTTAGTACCTGACAACCGGATGTTCTCCACCTCACTGGGACATACAAGAACAACTTCTCTTAGGTCTTACCTTCTGGAGGAAATTGTACCAAATACTTCTCTTCCAAGCCCATTTTTGCGAACTGTTTTGCAAAGATCTGCTTGGACTCTCGCGTGGGAATTTTTGCAATACCTGGAAAAGAGACAAGACCTGAACCCTACATGCGTTTCATACCTCCCGTCGCTAGAAGGCAGCATTTGTGCAGCTAAAACATGTATGGAAAATATTGGAAGGGGGAGAGGGAAAAGATTGAATTTCTGGCCAAGTCTTCCAAATAAGGAATGTGAGGTGATGATGTTCAGGGCACAATACAACCCCCTCCAACATCTCTCCAGTGAAAATAGGGACATCCTGGTCTACACCAGGAAGCTTCTGCTGCACAAATAGCTGCCATGGACACGTCAACATCGGTCACCTTGAGCCAATTGCAACTTTTCCACCTCACCTACATCACAAGAGTGTGGCAAAAAAAAATGTGAGAGGGAAGGGATGGTGTATAACACTTTCCACACATAATGGGAATGAAATGGGTAAGGATTTAAAGCAGATTGGTGACCATTTCCTTCAACAATATAGGAATAGCTTTATATTCCAGCTTCACCATTTCCTTCATTTGGTGCGGGGAATTTATTTTCAGGATAAACAGGACTCTGTTTTTGCACCTATACATGCCACTTTTAACTGTTCCCCAAGGCGAGGAGGAAAAATGAAGAACAAGACATTCTGGGATCCAAACAGAAACCAGTATGGCTTCTGTAGATCTGGGACTTTCCCTGGAAATTCGAGGTACTTGGGGGTCTGGGAAAAGGACAAGCGCGACAGTCTGGGATCAAATCAGAAACTGGGGCAGCTTTTGCACTTCCGGGACAGTCCTTGGAAAATCAGGACACTTGGAAGTTATGCTATGCTAGCTAGGGCTGATGGGAGTTGTCATCCGAAGCTTCTGGAGGGGACAGGCTGTCCTACACCATTATTTTGAATTGCAAATCCCCTTGATTATATGGGCGGAATGGTGATATGTATAAATGTAACGACTTAATAAATGTTCTCTCTCTTCCCTCTTCAAGGTGAGGATGGGAGTCTCCTTGCCTACATACCATAAAGGGTCAAATAAACGGACATGACGCCATCCCGTGTGTGTGCAGCCGTGACAACGCAGTAGCTCTTACAATCTGTCACCCCATCTAGGACGACGCCTTTACCCCATTCTGGAGAAAAAAGAGAGAGGAAGGCATGCGTAATGAATTGGGGACTCTTCAATCGGTGTGAAATTTAGCACCAACGGGAATGTTTCCCTTAAAAATAAATGAATAAACTTGACTCATCTGTCCTTCATGGCTGTAAGCTGTTAAAAGCGCATTAAATCATCAAACCATTAAAACAGAAAACAAGAATGGATAATACTTGGGTGTGGGTGTGGGTGTTATTGAATAGTTCATGTGACATCACATGCACAATGTTGTGCGTGTGACGTCACACCCATTACATGCAGGCCTGTGCGTGTGACATTGAATGTCTGCATTGCAGCTGTGGGAAAGAGAGAGAGAGAGAAAGTTCAGCTCTGGTCTCCACCACCAGCAAGGCACCCTGTTCCATAGGGAGGAAAAGGGTGCCCGCCTCCCAAAAAAAGTTGATTCTCTGGCTGTCCGTGGAGGCGGAAGCTGAACTGCTTCTCTCTCATAAGAGGCCATTTGTTCATTGACTTTGTGGGTACCCAGCCCCCACAATTATGGAGTTGGCTCCTGTGGGCTCTGGCGTGGGTGGCTCAGGGTCGGCGGTGGCAGAGGGGCTATTGGGCGATTGTCCTTAAAAAGCTCAAAAACTTTTTGTGTCCAGTTTTTTTACTTCTTGGAATATGGTAACCCTAGGGGAATAAGGCTTTCAGCGGCTACCTAACCATAAAGATGGCTGCCTGTCACCACTGTTTGTGGGGATCAACCTGTTTGGCTGCTGTGGAAACTGGGATGCTGTGCTCAATGGATGCTTGGCCTAATCCAGCAACGAAGCTCCTCCTTATGTTCCTAAGACTAAAGAGGATTTGGGGGCCTCTTTCGGTGAAGGATTCCTGCGTTGCAGGGGGTTGGACAAGATCACCCTCGGGGTTCCTTCTAACTCCTATGGTTCTGTGGTTCCAGGATTCTGTGGAAGGTGTCCTCTGTTTAATGGGCTGTCTAGTTCAAGTCTGGCTTAAAGATAACCTTAAAACGATTGCTTGGTTTGCATCTACACATTTTCCTTTGGCTGTGCCAATCGGTGTCCTCCTTTTGGGCGATGCCTAACTCAGTCCTGAGTGCTCACTGGAAGGACTGGACTGATCCTGAAGGACAGATCCTGAAGCTGAGCCTCCAATACTTTGGCCACCTCATGAGAAGAGAAGACTCCCTGGAAAAGACCCTGATGTTGGGAAAGATGGAGGGCACAAGGAGAAGGGGACGACAGAGGATGAGATGAGTCTGACCAAACTGCGGGAGGCAGTGGAAGACAGGAGTGCTTGGTGTGCTCTGGTCCATGGGGTCATGAAGAGTCGGACATGACTAAACGATTAGGTAAAGGTAAAGATACCCCTGCCCGTGCGGGCCAGTCGTGTCCGACTCTAGGGTTGCGTGCTCATCTCGCTCAAGAGGCCGTGAGCCGGCGCCGTCCGAAGACACTTCCGGGTCACGTGGCCAGCGTGACGAAGCTGCAGCTGGTGCGCCAGCACCAGCATAGCACACGGAAACACTGTTTACGTTCCCACCGAAGCGGTACCTATTTATCTACTTGCACTTAAGGGTGCTTTCGAACTGCTAGGTGGGCAGGAGCTGGGACCGAACAACGGGAGCTCACCCCGCCGCGGGGATTCGAACCGCCGACCATGCAATCAGCAAGTCCTAGGCACTGAGGTTTTACCCACAGCGCCACCGGCGTCCCAGCGACTAAACGATTAAGCAACAACAACAAAACTGGCCCATCTGCCCTATAGGAGGGCAGCAGATTTTCCTGCCACTGGAAACATCAAGCTGCTGCTGAAGACCACAACTACATTCAACTTGTAAACATGCAAATTGACTTAAATATTACAGAAACGCCTCACGTTTCCCGTCCTCTTCCCTTCCAAAGGGAGCCCAACTTGGGTCTGCCCCCTGGGGCTTCTCACACTGCTTAGGGATGCTGGGTGAATAGCTGTAACAGGTTAAAACTGAGCGAGATTTCGCTCATACAGACCGCTATTGCAGGTATACATTCCATCTTTCCCTTTGGTAAAGGCCATATCCATTTTGAGACAGCCGTAGGGCCTGTGAAAGGAGACGGGGAGGAAAGGGGTCAGGTCACGAGGAGCAGTGGTGCAGTTGTGAAATCTGAGGCTTTGGACTTGGTAAGGACATCAAAAAAGTCTGGCTGAATCAGGCCAGCCTCAGACCCTCCAAATGTCCCAATTTTCCAGAGGCAGTCCTGGAATTACAGAAGCCATCCAGGTTTCTGATTTGATCCCAGAATGTCCCACTTTTCCTTTCAATAGCATGTCCCTAGGTCATCAGAGAAATGCTGAAGGGGATGGAAGAGCACGTCCCTATTTTCCCAGGGGAAAATCCTGGAGGGAATGTAACAGAGGTTTCGTCACCTTTGGCTTGGAAAGTGGCCGCCCAACTCAAGGTCATCGCAAATCCAAATTTGCATTGCTGGGGGTTAGACTAGATGACCCTTGGCTCCCTTCCAATGCTACAATTCTATGATTCTAACATAGTAAGGTAAAGGGACCCCTGCCCATTAGGTCCAGTCGTGACCGACTCTGGGGTTGCAATGCTCATCTCGCTTTATTGGCCGAGGAAGCCGGCGTACAGCTTCCGGGTCATGTGGCTAGCATGACTAAGCCGCTTCTGGCGAACCAGAGCAGCGCACGGAAATGCTGTTTACCTTCCCACCGGAGCGGTACCTATTTATCTACTTGCACTTTGACATGCTTTCGAACTGCTAGGTTGGCAGGAGCAGGGACCGAGCAACGAGAGCTCACCCCGTCGCGGGGATTCGAACCGCCAACCTTCTGATCGGCAAGTCCTAGGCTCTGTAAATAAGGACGTAAAAAGAGCCTTCTGGAACAGGTCAATGGCCCATCTAGTCCAGCATCCTGTTCTCACAGTGGCCAACCAGATGCCCATGTGAAACCAGCAAGCAGGATTCAAGCCCGAGGGCAACTTTCCTCTCCTGTGATTTCTGGCAATTGGTATTTGGAAGCATAGTTCGCAGCCATCAGTAGCCCTCTTCTCCATGGTAAGTAGATGCACAACCATAGATTCAAATTAAAACTTGTTCAGTGGATACATAGTGCTGCTCTAATTTTATCTCATCTCTCAAAATCACAACAGGGAAATCTTCAAATTCACATGTTCAAATTCAGAATTCCTACCTGATAGTGAGCAAAAGAACTCACCAGAGCAACCACACCCCAGGGTTTTCTTCTGTCTGTAGGCAACGCTACAACAGCTCAGCAAACAACAGGCAAACTTACGTTGGCAAAGTGGAAGAGACATTGAAGTTTCCATCCTTCGTGATGGTTAAGTTGGCAGCCACCATGCTCATTCCATCTAAATAGTCGGAAAGCAGGGTGCTGTTGGTGGCGAAGATCTGTGTGTACCAGGTCTTTGGGAACTGCTGAAGACAAAAGACGAGTGGCCCTTTCAGAAGGTGCAGTAAAACACTGGGGCTCCAAGCAGAAATTCCTGACTGCCTACCTGGTACAAGTGTTCCCTTCCAATAATGGGACTTATCTGAAGATTATGAGGAGTTCCTGTCCATGCAGATGGTAAGCAGAAATGGCCAAGTGCACACATCACGGTGCACACCCTCCAAAGACCCCAATGGACCTGGAACATTTTCTATTTGTACAGGAACAAGTGTCCATTGAGGAATGGGCCATCTGACACTGCCAAATTCTTCCCCAAATGGTGTCTCCCCTCCCTGGGGTTGTCCCGCCACGGTGCTCGGTTGGAGCTCGACAGAAGACCAGAGCTGGTGGTTACCTTATTTGGGTCACACTTTTTAAAGTCATAACGCATAGCATGGGCAGCGTAGAGGAAGGCAAGACCCAAACCAGTCACCCAGAACTTCATCTTGCGTCTCTGCTTTCTCGCTTCTCGGTGAGAGGATATTCTGAGACAAGTTAGCTCAAGGCATGCACGCTTCCTGGCTTTTGTAGAGCTTTACTCTCTCCCTGCCACACCCTCTGAAAAGCTTGCATCAAGTCCACCTGCCGTCCTTTCTCGCCCACCAGCCACGTTTGCAGCTGCAGATACAACAAGGTTGTTGTTGGCATGGGAACAGCTGGCCCAATGGCTCCTTGTGCAACACAAGGAGGTGTTGCGGTTGCCCAAACAGAGGAGGCATTTGCCTTGGCCCACGATCCAATGGGCATGTGGACAACAACCACCCGGAAAGGTCACACTCCTCTTATCTAAAGCAGGGGAAGAAGAGCTTGGAGTGGGTGACCCAAGGTCAATATGTTTCTTGGAGTGCAATAAATGAAGGAATGACGTCAGCTGCTTTCCCGGTCACCCTTTTGGAAAGATGCAGGAGAGCAAAGATGGAGTCATGAGACCGGGCTGCTGCTGCTGCTCCCATGTCAAGAGGGGTGATGGAGCCCTCATGGTGTCCAAATTTTCTAGGGACAGTCCCGGAAGCCATCCGAGTTTCGGACTTGATCCCTGAATGTCCCTCTCATCCTTTTCCTTCTGCATCTCAGAGAGCAATTAAAAGTGGTGTGTGTGGGTGCAAAAAATGGAGTATGGTTTATGCTGCAAATAAAATCCCTGCAACAAATGAAGGAAATGGTGAAGTTGGCATACAAAGCCATTCCTGTAATGTTGAAGGAAAAAGCGACCAGTCCACTTTCAGTCCTTTCATTGCAATGTTTCCACAGCCAGCCATTTCTTAGGAAACACAGGGAGTGTTGATTCCTTTACAGGCAAATCTCGGTTACTCAAACGTTTCGGCTGCCAGAAGTAAATGCTCCAGTTTCCTATCATATTTTGGAACCCCAATGTCCAACATGGCTTCCACTTGAGTGCAAGAAGCTCTTGCAACCAATCGGAAGCTGTGCCTCGGTTGTCAAACATTTTGGAAGTCGAACAGTCTTCCGGAATGGATTACGTTCAACAACCATGGTATTGTAAATGGAGCCTGACACTGTCTACTCAGATGTAAAGGTAAAGGGACCCCTGACCATTAGGTCCAGTCGTGACCGACTCTGGGGTTGCAGCGCTCATCTCGCTTTAGTGGCTGAGGGAGCCGGCATACAGCTTCCAGGTCATGTGGCCAGCATGACAAAGCCGCTTCTGGTGAACCAGAACAGCGCACGGAAATGCTGTTTACCTTCCCGCCAGAGCGGTACCTATTTATCTACTTGCACTTTGATGTGCTTTCGAACTGTTAGGTTGGCAGGAGCAGGGACCAAGCAATGGGAGCTCACCCCGTTGTGGGGATTCGCACTGCCGACCTTCTGATCAGCAAGTCCTAGACTCTTGGTTTAACCCACAGCGCCACCTGCATCCCCCTACTCAGATGTAGGCCCCCTTTATTCAATGGAACTGACTCCCAGGGAACTGGGTCAAGATTGGGCAGCCTTACACTGCAGTCTGAAGCATTTTGATTCAGAACTAAGTCCCACCGAGTTCAATAGGATTTCCTCCCTGTTCTGATCATTCCCACAGTTTCCTCTATTATTAATATTTTTATTCCATCTTTTTCCCTCACGGGGGCTCAAGGCAGCTTACAACTACAATTGTATTTCATTCCATTTATCTGCGGAAGGTGTTATACCCTTCCCTTGCACAATTTTTATTTACAACAATCCTGCAAGGTAGGCTTGGCAGAGAGGTTGCAATAGGCTCGAGGCGACAGGCGTCAATGCGTATATGGTGTCTATGTGTACAGGAGATCCAACACAGGAGAGGTTTCCTGATGGGGAAGAGGATGTCGCTATTTTCGTCAGAGGACTGTTGGAGAGCGGGAGAGCTGGAGTGGACCATAGGAAGGATCTTCCTTCCCACCTGCCCAGGAGGATGAAGAGCCAAGACTGGTCTGGGAATTCAGAACATCAGAGGACATCGCTGCTTTGAATCCCTCTAGCCATTCTCAGTCCACGGGGAGGGACCCATAGCTCAGCGCTGAAGCAAATACTTGCTGTCCCTTGGGCATTTCCAGAGATTGGGAAGGCTGGGGAAACCTTGTCTCTGGCAGACAGCTTGGACAGCATCTTCCAGCAGTGGTCTGCAGCTCAGAGGCAGACGAAGCGAGGTTCTGCTAGGACAACCATGAACTCAACTCATCCCAAGGCAGGGGTGCCAACTGGAATAAAATTTTGGGTAAGCCTCACCCTGCATCATCAACCACAAGACACCATTTGAAGGCAATGCCCATCAACTGGGATGGTGGTGGTGGTGGAAGTGACCTGGTCCCTAGGAGCTGGTGCCTAGGGCACAAGGTGCAGGCAGATCCAGTGATCTCCCAAGGGTGCTGGGCAAAAGAACTCCCTTGGCAACTCTTACTGAAAGAAAGAGCAACAAACTGGTTTTGCTGATCCCGGCCAGCCCTTCCTCTTCTTGATGTTGCACATTTGAATGGAGGAATTTTTTAATGTGCTCATGTCAAGTACTCGTGTAAGTCCTTCCTTGAATTCTCCCCATCATGCTTCTCAATATGACCTCTGTATCTTCCTCTTATTAATTACCCTGGCTATGATTACAATTTTGAATTCATTACATCACACCCTTCCTCCCGAAGGAGCCCAGGGAGATGAACCACAGACCACAGAGCAATAAAGCGTCTTTAAAATGATTCCGATGAGGAGGGAGACTGGGAAAGAGCTTCACTTAAAGGTGTTGTTGGAAGAGGGCCCATCTTCAAGAGGGGATACCTGTTTGAGATCCTGGAGGTACCCAGTTCCGTGGGTAAGTAACACACGCTAGCCATTTGGGCAGGAATAACAACAGCAGTGAAACCAGAAAAAGAAGCTACTCCAGACTTTGTCAGCTCATGCGCTGGGTTCGAAACCTGCCCTTTCAGCACATCCCAGGACACCTGCCCCAGCCCCAGAGCTGCGTTCAGAGGGAGCACCTGACGGGGTGCAAACAACATGGATGGAAGGTGAAGCCAGCTTTTAAAAACATTGTTTCCAGAGTACAGATCACAGGAACCCTCAGCCAGACTATAATTTTAAAAAGGAACAATCCCCAAGGTCCTCTGGACTGTGAAATGATCAACCAATGCTGATGGAAAGGAGCTCTTGTTACTTAATGTTTTCTTTGCCATCCAGTCATTAGGGATGCAATTTTAATTGTGTTCTCAGTAAGCAATTTATCATGTTTCAGAATAACAAACAGTCTTGGCATTTTTTGTTATTTTTAATTAGTCACCTAAGTGATAGAATCTGACTGACAGATTGACTTTGCTGGCTAATTAGAATCAGCTGGTAATGTAAAAGTTCCGGGATTGTTTGTGTGCGTTCTTTTAAGACAAAAAATAAAAATAAATAAATGCAGAACATTAGAAAATGTAGGAAATTGGGCCTGTCGAGCTAGCTGCTGCTATTCCATCAGGCTGCAGAAAAGAAGAGAGAAGTGTGGTGGCAGGACTCCCCTAAATCAGCTCAGCTGAGAGACCAGCTGCTGTTTTGCTCCTTCCCTCCCTCAACTGTTTCTGTTAACTCTGGCCATTATAAGAACTATGCAGCTTTTAAACACATGAAGCCTGACAGCTCGTTTTCCTCTTCCCTTCCCATCGCTTTTTCTTTTTGTGCCATGTCTTTTGAACTGCAGCTCTGTTTTTGATGTAGGGTTGTTTAGACATCATAATTCATGGACACATGAGTGTTCATAATAGCCTGATGATTCAGTTCAATAATGCATAATAATTCAAGCGTCCAGGAGGATGCGAGAACTATTAAAGGAAATAGGATTGTTAAAGCAGGGGGTGTGGAGGAAAGCACAGAAACGTCTCCTTGCCAGACACAACTACTTCTGGAAATTTGCATGTAATGAAAGCACTGAGGAAATATTTACTGGAAAGCCATGTACATTACACCCTGTTGCATAAATAAGTGCCTTTAATGAGGTCTTATCCACAATGCCTAAAATGAGAATGCTGTTGCTTTTCATTGCCATCACAGTTTATTGCCGGGATCAGGCAACAGAGATTCTGCAGCCAAATCTGGGGCCCTAGAGGAATACCACCCATTCACTCCAAAGCAGGCATAGGCAAACTCCGGCCCTCCAGATATTTGGGACTACAATTCCTATCATCCCTGACCACTGGTCCTGTTAGCTAGGGATGACATGAGAAGTAGTTGACCTCTGCCTGCACTTGGCTTTAGCGCCACCTACTGTTGACCTCCCTGCCCTCTGCCCTACCAATCCCAATGGCTACCAGGCACCGCTCCAAATAAAAGGCACACGAGAGACACTTTTTTGCTTCTTAAGATGTCTGTGCATTTACGGCAGTGCCAAAAATCGAATAAGCAATCCTCGCAGGCGGTAGGGAGGCAACCCAAGGCAAGAGTTGCCAGCCGCCAGTCCCTAGGAGGACTTCTGCTCCTTCGCCATAGTGGCAAAAACCACTTGGGGTTTGATGGCACATGCCAAAGCAGTGGAATCTGGCGCAAACGGGGAAATGCCCCACAAGCCTTTGTTGCCCCTCCTGGCCTGCTTTCTTGCTCACAGCCAGTCCAGGGGGTGGGGGTAGTGGCTGCCAGCTTCATCCTCCGAAGTCTCAGTGTTGCCTCTTGTAGAACTCATCCAGGGAGCGCTTGGGGACAAAGCTGGAATAGGCCTGCGGCACAGGCGTGTCAACGTGGGCCCCACATTAGGGGGGCTGTTGCGCATGCATGACATCACACACACGATGCCCTGTGGTGGGCCACACCTGCTGGGATGCTCTGGCGATCGCAGCAGGTGGCGCGGAGGGCGAGAAACGCCCCCCTCCCAAGCCTCCCGCCTGGCACGCCGGCGTTTGCCCCAGGGCGGCAGGGGATGGCAGCCCCTTCAATATTGGGGGTGCGAGCTGCGTTCCCTGCCTCAAAATATCGAGGGGGCTGAAGCCCCTTGTGCCCCATATACCGGGCACAGCTGCTCCAGTGGCACAATGCGTCAGTGTGTTTGGCTGTGAACCAGAAGGTTGGTGGTTCGAGTCCACTCAGGGACGGCTGTGGCCATTGCAGGGAGCTGAACTAGGGTTCCTTCCAACGCTACAATTCTTTGAGAAATCTACGAGGTTGGCTCATAGGCTGACCAGTCCCAAAGAGCATTTGCCATCTTAAATCTCGCCCCACAATGCGAGGAAGGCCACATACAACGTTGCTCTGAGAACGAGGCACTGTGAGGTGGCATCTGAGGCAGCCCCACCTGGGCATTACCACAGTAGGAAAAGCCACCACCATCATCTTGTTGCCATAGCTGGAGAAACTGGTTTTTTAATGCTGTGTCTGCAGCAGGAAGCAAAACAGCATGGGCCGGCCCCGGCTGGCAAAGACCGATGATGATGAAGATGATGATGGTGAAGGTGACAGCACCTTGAAAGGATTTTGCATTTATTGCCTCTCTACGTGCCGCTGTCAGACTTCTTACCAAGCCTTGCAGGTGGAAAGGCTGCCCAGCCCAGTATCTATCTGATCATCTTATGAGATATAACTTGTTTTCAAAAGGAGCTGGGAGGGGGGAAAAACCTTGTCTACATCAGGATGTGTTTCGGCAAGCTTTCGTTAGGTTTGATTGAAGATATAATATGCATGATATGAAGCAACTGTGACCATGGATAGCAAAAAAGAAAAAAGATAGGCAGCGCTCCTGGGAGACTGCGTTGCGATGCTGCTTTGATAGCTCTCTCAGCCCTGAAGAAGAAGTGTAAGGTGCCTAACTGTGTGCACAGATTGAGGCCAGAGTTTTGCTTTTCCGAAGATTCCCTAAATGTTTCCTCTTCCCTGCCGAGGTCTGTGATGAAGGAAGAGGAAACTGATAGGCAGTACCTGCTGAAAATCTCAGGGGAGATACCCACACAGTGATAGTTTCTCCCAGTGCCAGTCATCACACAGAAACAGAGAAAGGTTCAGTGAGTTCACTGTTGCAGAAGATAAGGCTCAACAAACCAGTGTGGATATAGATACATACAGCTTGAACAGCAGCAAGAATACTCATCGCAAAGTATTGGAAGACACAAGAGCTACCCACACTGGAGGAATGGCAGATGAAAATGATGGACTATATGGAATTGGCAGAAATGACTGGCAGAATCCGTGACCAGGGAGAAGAGTCGGTGGAAGAAGATTGGAAGAAATTTAAAGATTATTTACAGAAACATTGCAAAATTAATGAATGTTAGAGTGATGTTGGATTGAAGTTAAGTGGCTTCTAGCTGTACAGGTTTTAAAGCTATAAATATATTAAGATTAAGGATTAGGATCAAAAAGGTTAAGAGAAATGGAAAAATTGGTTTAAATAGGTAAAAATTTAATGTCATAATATATTAAGATTTAGGATTGGAATTAAAAAGGAGGGAAAGAAATTGCTGGGCTTACAAACTGAATTGGAATACAAAAGAGGGAGGTATGAGGAAGTCCGGGAAACAAGTAAATGTAAAAGAGGTTATGAAAGGACGGAACTATTTTTAACTGTTTTTTCTTTTTCTTTTCTTTTTCTTTTTTTTACTTTTTTCTATTTTGTATTTTGTATGGTGTATTTTTCTCTGTTTTTGTTAAAAAAATTCTTGTTTATTAAAGTGATTTTATCTTTTCTGAAACTTTAATAAATATTAATCAAAATAGATACATACAGCTTGTAGGCTTTTGCAGATACAGATATATGCAGTGTTGGGGACTGGTTGGATGCAGAGGAATGGTGGGAGGAACTGGCTGGGGAACCCCCAAGGGAAGAAGGCTCAGAGCTCAGGGAGTGGTGGTGGGACAACCATGAGTGGTCAGAGGGAGCAGACTGGGGGGAGGAGGTGTCAGAAGCTGAAGCGGTAACAGGGCTTAGTGAGCTGGGAGAGTCTAGGGCAGAGAAAAGCCCAGAAGCTGAAGCAGAAGAGGAGGGAGGCCCAGAGGCAAAGATGAGTCAGGCTGGTGTAGAGTCATAAGGGTCTCCCTCTCCTGCTGCAGCAAGCTGCCCTCCCCTCTGGTCTCCTAGGACCAGGAGAGGCATGAAGCAGGAGGAGCAAAGGTAGACATGTAGGCACAGTCTCAGATTGTAGCAATACCAGCCTAATGGACTGCTTGTAAGTAAGAAGACAGGCAGGGGGAAGCTGGCTGGGGGATGGACTTTAGGTTGCTGGGCAACACCCGATTCACCCTGAAAACGGTATTCAGTAAACCTGTTTCTCTGCCTGCAGGAGGCTTACCGGGAAACCCATATTAAGAATCTAAAAGGTTACCTATCAGAGGAAGGAAACTATCAACCACGATCAAGTCAGAGCAAAGCAGCTATTAAACCTGATTTTTATTACTGCTGTTGCAACAGGGTTTTCACTCACCCCACGCAGGAGGGAGGAGGAACCCAGAACAATGGTGCACAAGACCTTATATAAACTTATATTGCCCACCCTGTAGCTCAAGACTACTCCCAAAAACTTCATACATACATCACAGAAGGAGGCGGGGTATAGCAGAAATACATCACAGGGGGGCGGTCTACAACAGAAATCCTGTCTGCCAGGATACCTGACAATGGCCAGTGATTGCTTTACTTGGGCAGCCCGGCCATTCTTTTGTGATGGTAAATACTCTAATTCCTGAATCCAGGTCACAGGCTCATCCTATTCATACACAAAGATGCCCTAAAGACGGGTGAGCAAAAGACAATGAGAGGCTTTCCCATTTCCTTCCTCCTTGCAGAGAAACATTTGAGGTCAATTTGGGAGACTCAAAACGGTTTCAGGATTGCGCTCCTGTACTATTTCAGACACATGGTTTATATACATATGCATGTGTTTTACCTTGTAAATTTATGAACATTTAATTTATATTCAGGTAGGTAGCCTTGTTGGTCTGACGCACTCGAAATAAATAAAAAAATAAAACTTTGTCCAGTAGCACCTTAGATACTAAGTTTGTTCTGGGTATAAGCTTTCATGTGCATGCACACTTCTTCAACAGTCGTCAACAGGTTTACCATACCCATCGAGTCAATCACTCATCTCCCACTACCTTCTGAGAAAAACCCCACCCTCCCACTATATATAAGGGTCTGGTGACTTCTGTTTCAGTGTATCTGAAGAAGTGTGCATGCACATGAAAGCTTATACCCAGAACAAACTTAGTTGGTCTCTAAGGTGCTACTGGACAATTTTTAAATTTAATTTATATATTTGAGACCTTAAATTTTTATAACAACCCCTAAATGCACCAGGCTCCGCTGTTCCTACAGCTGCTGTTGTGTGCATAACCCCTCATCACTTTATCTTCCTCCTGGATGCCTGCAAAGGCATCCAAGGTTCACAATTAATTAAGACTGAGGGGGGCATTGTAATTCCTCTCTTTTAAAATATAAAAACAGGCCGTCTAGACCAGCATCCTGTTCTCACAGTGGCCTACTGAATTATGCCATGTGTGCAGGGAGCACTGATTCTGGTCCTCAGACAAAGCCAGTTTCCCAGGTCATGTCACATTCTGGCACTACCAAGGAATGGAAAACAAGGCCATGAAGCTGGCAGGAGTGATGCCATCAGGTCTGGAGCAGGTAAGACCCTTAAAGAACTTTCCTCTGAGGAAGAGAGCACTCAAGACAGCTCCAGACTGCTGGTGTTTGACAGGAAGGATTAAAGTGCTTTCTATGAAATGTTGGTTTGTGCAGTTAAAGTGGATTATGTTGGAGATGGAGGATTAAATCTGCAGATTAAAATTTAAGCCTCCTATCCCATGTGTGCGGGAGAAAGACGAAAAGTAAGAGGGCTGCGAAGCTTAAAACGTTTTGCAGCTTACTAAATCTTAGGAATAAAGCAATTACACCTTTTTATCCCTTTTACTTGTGGTCGGCTGACCTCCCCCTCTTCATCCCCGTTGCAGAGAACGAACCACACGTTTCAGAAAGATAAACAAAAATGGTTTACTGACATGTCAATGCAAGCAGCAAATATGATACAGCTAAGAAAAATTATCAGGTACGAAATACAACAGTTGACTTCAAAATGGGCCGTGTGTGTCTGGGGGAGACCCCAGACATACATGTGATCAGCTTGGAAGCATGACGGCAGAGAGCCTCCTCAGAGGCAGACGGAAATATAGTGGTACCTCAGGTTACAGACGCTTCAGGTTACAGACTCCGCTAACCCAGAAATAGTACCTCAGGTTAAGAACTTTGCTTCAGGATGAGAACAGAAATCGCGCAGCAGGAGGCCCCATTAGCTAAAGCGGTACCTCAGGTTAAGAACAGTTTCAGGTTAAGAACGGACCTCCAGAACGAATGAAGTTCTTAACCCGAGGTACCACTGTATAAAGGATTATCTCCTTTGTTACAGAATTCCCACCCAGAGGGAAGAGGCAGGGGAAGAGGCCACACAGAGGGTCCTCTCTAGGAAATTTAAGAACTCTCTGTGTACTAGCCCTGTGCTAGTGATTTGCCTGCAAACCCCACAGATGAAAGGGTTTTGTCACCTCGATGCAACAAATCAACTTCAGAAAAAAGAAGCAAACTTATTGCAACTAGGAGGGTAACAGAGAGATAATAAAATAGGAAGAGCCTGCTAGCTCAGGCCAGCGACCCGTCTAGACTAGCATCATTTGCTTACTAGTCTAGTGGCCGACTAGACATCTGTCAGAAGCCTGAAAGCAGGACCTGCATGCAAGACAAGAGCAACTCTCCTCACTTGCGATTCGCAGCAACTGGCATTCAGAGGCATCCCTGCCACGGAGGCTGGAAGGAGAACATAGTCATTGTAGCTGTAAGATGCTGATAGCTTTACCCCGCATGCATTTGTCTTAAGCCTCTCTTTTAAAGCTCTCCTGGTTGCTGTCCACCACTAAGGATGGGGGGGGGGGGATTATATTCAGATTTAAAGGCAAGCCTATGAAATGCACGCTTTCCATAACAACATGAGAAGTGAAAGACAGCCAACCTTTGAAATTCACACTGTCCATATTTTAGGATGTAGTAAACAAATGGTTACCAAAATGCATTACAAAAACGAACATGTTAGTAAAAATGGCATACAAATACTGTATGCATGATGACCTTGCAAAAACATGTGCATAAGTCAAAACTGCATACAAATGTATGTTTCCTGGTAGAAATTCAGACTAAAATGCTGATAAAAGTTCCCCAACGTGTTAATAATCCATGTGGATGGGTAGTTCCGTAATATGTCATTGGTCTCCTTCACAGTCCACTTTCTTGCATTCTCTTCTCCAGGGCCAGCTCAATAAATTTTGCCACCCAAGGCAAACCACAAAATGGTGGTTGGAAAGCCATCCCCACCAGGGGAAAATGTGTGAAGATCTACCTCAGGAACATGGGGGAATAAAGAACTGCATTGGGACCCGCTGCCCCTGTGGATCCTGCTGTCTGAGGCGGTCACCTCACCTTCCCTCATGGGTGGACTGGCCCTGCTCTCTTCTTTGGCGCTGTTATTTTCCTCTGTGGCACCGGAAAGCCCTCCCTAGAGTCAGGAGAAGGTAGGCCAGGCAAGCCGCCATGTTGACAATAGCTGTGAAAGCCAACGTCCACAGTGCCATGTGCTTGTCGGCTTGGCCTGCCAGGGCACATTCGAGTGCCTCGGGGCAGGAGTGTGCTCCTGGAAGGCATAAGAAGGTTGTGCGAAGCACTGATGGGATCTGCAGAAATATCACAACCCAGAAGAAGCCCAGCTCCGTGGCCAGGAGGAGAAACACGCACAAAGCGAAGGCCGCCGAGGGCCAGGTGCAACGAGGGGACATCTTGGGTTCCGATGGAACCATGTTGGGCAAAGGAATCGTTCTGGGAGCCATGCTGGATCCGGCGGCCATGTCGTGGCTCACACTAGTGATGTCGGTGAGCTCCTCGTCTCCTTCCTTTGCCGCCTTTCTCCGGTGCTTGGATCCAGTCCTTACGAGCCCCATTAGCCCCACTGGGAGCAGGGCAGCCAAAAAGGCAAAACCCCACGCAGAGGAGACGGGAGCAGGAAAGTGGTGGTTGAAGCACAGTGCGCTGCAGAAAGGCCGACTGTCCGCCTCCACCGAGGTCCAGTTGCAGACCAGGTCGGGGCTGGGAGAGGACCAGGGCCCGTCGGCGATGAAAAGGGCCACCAGCCGTAGCCCCAGAAGGAGATACCAGGGGGCCAGGCCTCGACAGCCAGGCTCACCTCCAGGGAACATCATGGCTGGCTGTAGGAGCCGAGCCAGACCAGCGACCACAGCAGCCATCTGCTGAGAGAAGGGAAGAGATGAGATGAGAGGAAGATGAGTTTCCTTTCTAAACATTATTGCGCAAAAGTTGGTTGCTCTGTGGTCTTCAGAGGCCTGAGAGAGTTCAGAATGGCAAATAGGCTTTTTGTTTTGTTTTGAATGGAGGGCACTGCTTCTTCTTTTTTTACCTTTTTTTACATGTACATTTTTAAAAACTGGTTTTTAGGGCCTTTGTGCATTTAACAAATACATAATACAGTGGTACCTCGGGTTAAGTACTTAATTCGTTCCAGAGGTCTGTTGTTAACCTGAAACTGTTCTTAACCTGAAGCACCACTTTAGCTAATGGGGCCTCCCGCTGCCGCCACACGATTTCTGCTCTCATCCTGAAGCAAAGTTCTTAACCTGAAGCACTATTTCTGGGTTAGTGGAGTCTGGAACCTGAAGCGTATGTAACCTGAAGCATATGTAACCTGAGGTACCACTGTACAGAAATTCATCAAATGACGTTTTCCCCATTACAGCATCTTTATGCTAGGAAAGGCCTAACCTGTTGGGTTTGCACCTGTACCACACCTATGAGAGGCACGGGGGGGGGGGGGAGGTGGCAAGTATTTTTCCAGGCACATTGGGGTGGTGAGTCTACAGAATTTGGTCCAGCTTCTTTCCAGGATCATCCACTCCCACCCTTAACTACTGAAATTTCTTTAGACTATTTAGTGCCCCGGTCCTTTTAAGTACCTGTACTACTGTTCTGTGACAGGTGTGTGGAGCCATTGGTCCGCCACATATTGGTGAACTACAGCTCCCGCAACCTCAGCAAGCCTGGCCAATGGGAAGGGGTGATGGGAGTTGTAGTTCAGCAACATCTGGAAGGCCAAACGTTTCCCACACCTGCTCTAGGGCTTTTAGATGGTAAATTATTATCAAGGCGTCACTTTAAAATGAAGGATTTCCAACAAGATTGACCCTGCATCTCACCTGTAGGTTGGGCTATTATTATCTTACTGTTATTAATCATAATCTATGTGTTAAATCTCTGTTTTACCTTTCTTTGGACTCTGCCCCGTTTCTCCTGCCGGTATCTACACCAGCCAGATATCCTCCAAATATTATTTAAAGCACTTCAAACTGTGAATAGGATCGTGTGTCAATCTGAACTTATTCTGTGGTTTAGATCATAGCACAGGCAAGAAAACTGACATAACTCTAAAATGACAGGAGACCCTCCATCATGAACTTTTGCGACCCTGGTACCAGCCTGGTCTCAAACCATGTCCTGAAGGCATTCAGGAAACATATTGTGTTCCTCACACCTTGCATAAAGGTGAGCATGTGTAAATTTAGTTGCCAGTGTAGTCTATTCACCACCTGAATGGGGCCATCAAGATAAAGGTGAGATGGTTTGAAGGCAGCAAGCAAACAAAGGATGCCCGGTTGGTTTAGCCAACACCCACCAGGTGGTTTTCTTTAACACAATTAATTTGCAAGATGGGAGAGATGAAGCTGAGCAGGAATTGCAAGGAAAAGGCGATAGAATTGCTCATCCGAAGGGCCCTTTCCTTTCAAAATGAAGAAAAGGCTGTAAGGAACCCTAAGATTTGTAGTCAGTGGCATTTCTTAACTTTTATTAAGAAGTGTGAGTTCTGGGACAATTTTTTCATGCTCACTTCTGTAGGCTTTTGAGAATATGTAGGCATTCTCCCCCTCTTTAGTTCAAGGTTTGTGTTGTGGGATTTGCTGCCTGCTTAAATTGTAACTTTGCTGTTATTCTGTTGCTTTCATTTCATAGAATAAAACAAGCTTTCTTTATTCCTTTGTATAAGAATTTCTTGTGGGCGTACGGTTAAGGGTGACGCACATATTCAAAAAACAGATGCACATTATAATTACAACAAAATATCGCAAACCTCTTTAAAAGTGTGTGTATGAATACATGTGAGTGATGTACACGCATGTGGGTTCAGACACATACTTCTAACAATTCTATTATGTTATATAAGACACAAAGACCTTTATCCAGTAAACCTGGTTCCAAATATCTCTTGGGTTTTACCCTATAAAACAAGACCCAGAAAACTCCAGGGTCTTATGAAAAATCATCATCTGCAACAAACACTCCAGTTCTTCCCTTCTCATCCTAATGCAGGCTGCCAGGAGTCTAGCTGCAGACCTTACCTGCCCGCGGACTGTCTCACCAGTGGTGCATGCTCTGGTTATTTCCCGCTTGGACTACTGCAATGCGCTCTACGTGGGGCTACCTTTGAAGGTGACCCGGAAACTGCAATTAATCCAGAATGCGGCAGCTAGACTGGTGACTGGGAGTGGCTGCCGGGACCACATAACACCGGTCCTGAGAAATCTGCATTGGCTCCCAGTACGTTTCCGAGCACAATTCAAAGTGTTGGTGCTGACCTTTAAAGCCCTAAATGGCCTCGGTCCAGTAGACCTGAAGGAGCGTCTCCACCCCCATCGTTCAGCCCGGACACTGAGATCCAGCGCCGAGGGCCTTCTGGCGGTTCCCTCATTGCGAGAAGTAAGGTTACAGGGAACCAGGCAGAGGGCCTTCTTGGTAGTGGCGCCTGCCCTGTGGAACGCCCTCCCAGAAGATGTCAAGGCAATAAACAACTATTTTACTTTTAAAAGACAACTGAAGGCAGCCCTCTTTAGGGAAGTTTTTAATGTCTAATGCTGTATTGTTTTTAATGTTCAGTTGGAAGCCGCCTTGAGTGGCTGGGGAAACCCAGCCAGGTGGGCGGGGTATAAATAATAAATTATTATTATTATTATTATTATTATTATTATTATTATTCAGCAGGGAGTAAAAAGCACTCAACACATGCTCAGAAACATTCATTTTGTTCCAGGACTTAAGCCCTGGCACTGAACACTGAGAGAGTGTGTGTGTGTGTGTGTGTGTGTGTGTGTGTGTGTGTGTGTTCTTCTGGGGCTAAGCCTAGGCTTAAATTAAGCCAAGCCTGTGTCTTTTCAGAATTGGGTTCTGTCTTCGGATTCCTGAAATCTGTATGAGGACAGGGTTAAGGTAGAAAGCCGGACTCCTGGGTTCTCTAGGAAGAAGGAAGCAGGGCTGCAAAGGGCTGAGGATTTGGCCATGGAGCTGTGGGGTTGCAGGCAAGTTAGCAAGACTAGTCCTGCAAGAGCCTCCCTGACAGTGGCCATTTGGGAGGGCCACACTCACTTCCCTGTGTTGCCCTTTGAGGACGGCCCCTAACAGTCCCTGTTTAAGCAACCACTCATCATTTTCAGGCCCCCCCCCCAACACAATGCCTTTGACAGCCTTTTCGTTTCCCGCCTGCACTCACTTCCCCCATGTGTGCAGAGACGAAACATCCACTTTTGTCTCCAACGATAAAAAGGCCCCTTGAGAAGCATAAAATATAACTCTGTTGCTGCCTGTTTTAATTTTACCTTTTCCTCTAGAGTCGACTTGACACTTCAGTTCTTCTGTTTGTCCACCGTCTTCTCCTTCGTCCTCTTCAATCTGTTCTGCCTCTTGTGTTCTGCTTTAGGGGGGGAAAGGGGTTGTTTTTTGGTTCCACATTATCAGAAAGTCCCCTGCACGGAACAGGCCGGCTGCAGACAAAGGGAAAGCTGAAATGAAACTCCCGAGAGAGATGGGAATAGCTGCCAGAGCTAACGCCTCCACACAGCTGCATGGATGTGGGCCCTCAACATCCCCCTGATGGACCACCCTTCTCCCCACCCTCTGGCTTTGACTTCCTCTGCTTTCTCAAATTAGACTGCCGTCTTCTCTGCGTCAGCCAACCTGGTGCCCTCCAGATGTTTTGGACTCCAGTTCCCATTAGCCCTTGGTGATGGGAGTCGTAGTCCTCCATGTGGAGGAGCCGAAGTCAACAAAAGCTCCTCCTCATGGAGCAGAGGTGGGAAACTTGGGGCAAAACGGGGCCCTCCAACCTTCTCTATGTGGCCCTCAGAACTCTCCCTGGCTACATCCTTATTGGCCCTGCCTGGCACCCTTCCTTGACTGTTGTTTTGCCCAGCTGGGAATGTATCTTTGAACTCTCATAAGGCCTCTTGCTTGCCTGGATCAAGAATAGACTGGGGGTGCAAGAGGGTAAAAGTTTGGGGGGGCCCCCCCACGAATTTCACACATACATTTCAATAAAAACTCTGCCCCAACTTCCCTTCCTCTTTTCCATGGTGTTTCTGTTCCTCTCCCTCTGCTGCATCCTGTCTACTATCTCCTAAACCTTAACAAAACTGCTGGAATCTTAGATCCCGTCTGTTGCTCATAGTTCAAATCCTGCTCACACGTTCATCATATAATAATACTTCTTTAATAATCCGAAATGGGTTTCCGTTCTTCCACAAAACCTTCGTCATTAGGTTCTCTTATTTTAGCTGTTAGCTTTGCCAATTCTGCGCAATCCATCGCCTCGCTTATCCGTTCTTCTTGAGTGGGTATCTCTGCTCATTTCCATTTTTGTGCACAGAGAATCCTAGCTGCCGTTGTAACATATATAAACAACTTAATCATCTTTCGAAGGGACTTCTGTCCCTATGACCCCTAAAGGCAAAATTTACATTTGCCGCTCCGTCTGTGTTTATCTCTGGCGTGTGGCCCTCAAAAGGTTTCCCAGATGGAAATGTGGCCCTCGGGCTGGAAAAATGGTTCCCCACCTCAGCATAGAAGCTGTGGCAGCACACTTGCCTACAAGGAAGCCCTACTGAACACAGTAGGACTTACTTCTGAGGAAACAAGCATGGAGTGTGTGTGTGTGTGTGTGTGTGTGTGTGTGTAGAGAAGAGAGAGAGAGACTTCTTCAGGAAGGGACTTGAGCCTGGAGCAGTGGTTTTCAACCCGTGTGCTGTGGCACCCTGGGGTGCCTTGACTGATGGTCAAGGGTGCTGCAGGCAACACTGGCCTCTGTCCCTCTTTCCTTCCCTCCCTCCTCTGATGCCCTCTCAAGTCTCTGCCTCCCAAAGGCTTGCACAGCTGTTTGTTGCAGCAGCAGCAGCTGCCCAGAGGACTCCCAAGGAAAGAAGGGAGAGGAGAGGAGGACCCCAAGGGAGGGTGTTCGGAAAAGGGTGAGAGGCTGCCAGGTCTGCAGGCAAGGGTGACACAACTGGGCTCCTGAGCCCCACGGGGTGCCACAGAAAGAATGCAGTGAGCTGTGGACCCCAAAAGGTTGAAAACCTCTGGCCTGGAGAATTAGAGTAGCAAGTTAATACGGACTTCTGGGCCTTTGGGGAAATGGTCCATAGGCAGCTGCCTTAAACTCTGTCAGGCCACTGGTCCAGCTGTACAATGATGGCTCTCCAGGGCCATCACGCAGGGCCATTTCCCAGCTTTAACTGGAGATTGAACCTGAGACGTTCTGCACACAAGTCAGATGCTCTTCTGACGGAGCTGCAGCCCTTTCCCAAAAGGGAAGTAGAAATGTGAGGAAAGATCCACCCATCAGCTGGCACGTTCTTTTCACATGTAGGCTGCGAATGACCAAAATAAATCTGCCCAGAACAAAGGCTCTTGTGTTGTTCCAACAAAGGCGAGGATTCAAGAAACTAGGAATGTGTGGTGCTGCCTTAACCGGAGCCAGACCAAGATGGCCGACTCTGATGTGGTACCTCCAGGGCAGTAGTCAGTCTTTCCCATCACCAGGAGCTTCCTGCATAAAAATGAGGAGCTCTGCTAAGCGGTGCTGTGATCCTTTCACAAACCCCACATATTAGCTGCACTCATTTGATTGCATTGCTATAGAATGGGAGGTAGTGATGATTTGGGATGATATCTGTGGGTCCCATCCAAGCCTGTGGCTTCGTATCTGTGGGGCGGGGTTCTGTGGTGGAAGGAGCTGCTGCAGTGGTGAGACCAGTCTCATGGTGAAGTTAATGGCCCCAGCTAAGCCTGTCAAACCCTCTTTTTTTACATGTCTAAAGAGTTGGACAAGTAAAGATGTGTTGCCATAGAAACAACCAGCTAGCAGTACCTTCTGGAGGAGTAGGCAGGCCTCCTCCACATCCGGTTGTATGCCATATACGTAATTCCAGGGGAAGGAGAGCAATAGGCCAGGGCCTAGTTCAGGCTAGTCACATCCAAAGTAGGGAAGACAGAGAGGCTTAATTTGCTCTCTTTGCTACAACCAAAAGTATAGATTGGGGAGGATGTCCCTGAAAACTTAACAGGAAAGCAAGATTTATTGGAGTGCCAATGCTATGAGTCCTTCTCTCTTATGTTCAGACTGTTTCAAGGTAAAGGGACCCCTGACCATTAGGTCCAGTCGTGGCCGACTCTGGGGTTGCGGCGCTTATCTCTCTTTATTGGCCGAGGGAGCCGGCGCACAGCTTCCGGGTCACGTGGCCAGCATGCCGAAGCCGCTTCTGGCGAACCAGAGCAGTGCACAGAAACGCCGTTTACCTTCCCACCGGAGCGGTACCTATTTATCTACTTGCACTTTGATGTACTTTCGAACTGCTAGGTAGGCAGGAGCAGGGACCGAGCAATGGGAGCTCACCCCGTCATGGGGATTCGAACTGCCGACCTTCTGATCAGCAAGTCCTAGGCTCTGTGGTTTAACCCACAGCGCTACCGCATCCCTCTGTTCAGACTGTATAGATGTGTATAAATAAAGCCATATATACACAAAAGACACCACAGCCTCCAATGAGTTTTATTCCAAGAAAATAAAAAACTGCTGCCACCCGTGAACTCTCTCACCTATTTGAGACTGGGCTGCACGTAACAGTATGACCTCCCTTGGTCTCTTGTCCTGTGTTCTCCCCTTAGTGAAGGTCTTTCCATACCCCTCTCCAAAGGGATATATGCCTGTTTGCTTGTTTGTTGCTTGCTTACGCTACCCTGTGATATGCCACTTGACAAAAGCCAGTTTCCCCAGGTCATGTCACGCTCTGGCGTTACCAAGAAATTGAACTCAAGATAGCCTATAGAGATAACAGGGAGGAGCAGGTGAAACTTTAAAAATCTTTTCATCAAGGAACGAGGCATACAGGTGTCTCTAGATAGATGGTATTTGATAGGAAGGAAGCACATTGCAGGAAACATGGAGCTGTGCAATTAAAGGGAATTAAAGATTTCTGCCACTGTGATGCAGCAGAACTGCTTCTAAAAAGAAGCAAACCTGAATCCAGTTGCTTGCTCTCCTGAGCAGCGACTTTGTCAGTCGAAGAACTGGATTTTAGAGCTGGAACAGTCCTTGGAGATCATCTAGTGACCCCTGCTCAATGCAGTAAACTTAACAGCCACAGCATCCCTGCTGGTGGAGAAAGAGAGTCTGATCCGCTGTCCAACAGCTGTTGCCTTTGGACCACTTATTAATTTCTTAGTCGTTTTTTCTGGTATGGCAGCTCAAAGCTACTTAGAAAATGGCTTGCCCCAAAATAATAATGCATAGATTAAAATTGGGGAGGATATGTTGAAACATTCCACCCATAGGCCATAGATAGTTAAAAGCCAAAGGCCTGGTTAAAAAGGAATATTTTTGTCTGGTGCCTGAAGATATGTATCAATGGCACCAGACGAGCTTCTCTGGGGAGAGCATTCTGTTAAGTTGTGGGTTGACATAGCAGACGACACAGCGATTTCTCCAAAGCAGCTCTTTATTTTGTAAGCTGGAACAGAACTAAGCTGAGGAGCTCAGTCAGCCTGCTTATATAGAGCTCCAGAACAATGTAACTGTTGCCATTTTCTAAAACTATCCAATCACTGAACGTCACTTTTCGATCCTTCATTTGCATACAAAACTATCCAATCACTGAATGTCACTTTTCGATCCTTCATTTGCATAACTATCTACAGTATCCCCCTGCTGGCCCAGGGTGAGAACTTCAGTACATAACACATTCCACAAAGGGAGAGCCATCAAGTCTGCCCCATCTTCTGTGTGACGACCCTTTCAAATATTTGAAGGGTGCTGTGGCGCCTCCTCTTCATTTTGTCTTCACCTGGCTAAACTGTCCTGCTCTTTCAGCTGCTTCTCACAGGACTTGGTTTCCTTGCTTCTCCAACACGGGTGGGATTGGGATCCCAAGCTTATCCGTTCTTTCCAGTGGCATTTGCCCTGACAGTGAAATCTGTTGCTTGAAGCGCTAAGTACCGATCACCAGATTGGGAACCTCCAGGGCTCCAGTTTTGCTCCATGAAATTGGATTACACATTAAGCTGGTTTTCTGCCTGCTTAATCTGCTTATTCTGAGTCAGGACTCAGCCCTCTGTGCTATAGCATAGGGTTTCTTGCATTAGCGCCAACTTCCGCAACTCAGAAATTCTGAACATAACAGAATTTTCTGCCACAACTTAGAAGCAGCTACAACAGCAGTGTGGACTTCCAGGGGTGATCAAACACACAGGTTACTTTGGTTGCAATGTGGATACATTTCCCTGTGAGTAGATACATATAAGTACCTCCATTACAGCCTTGGAATCACACCTGCTTTCTCTATCATGTCTACCCTTAACCTTCTCTTGGTAGCTCGGTCAGTACAGCAAGAGACTGAAATCTAGTGAGTAAATCTCCCTCTGATGCCAAACAGTGATTGCTTTACAGGGGGACAGACAGATCCACAGAGGGTAGGGCTGTTTTCAAGTGCTATTTATTTATTTTACTTATTGGATGCATTTATATACTGCTAAGGGACACGGGTGGCGCTGTGGGTTAAACCACAGAGCCTAGGACTTGCCGATCAGAAGGTCGGTGGTTCGAATCCCCGCGACGGGGTGAGCTCCCATTGCTTGGTCCCTGCTCCTGCCAACCTAGCAGTTCAAAAGCACATCAAAGTGCAAGTAGATAAATAGGTACCGCTCCGGTGGGAAGGTAAACGCGTTTCCGTGCGCTGCTCTGGTTTGCCAGAAGCGGCTTAGTCATGCTGGCCACATGACCCTGAAGCTGTACACCAGCTTCCTCGGCCAATAAAGAGAGATGAGCGTCGCAACCCCAGAGTCGGTCACGACTGGACCTAATGGTCAGGGGTCCCGTTACCTTTACCTTTAAGCACACCCCAATCTCAAAGCAGGAAGAGATCACCAAGGTCTGGGTGCATAGCAGAGTTTTGGTCTCCTTGGAATGAAGGTCACTGGAGGCTGATGGCATTTTCTGCTGTAAAAGATTTATTTCCACAGATATACAGGCTGAATGGAAGGTGGAAGGTTCACGCAGCATTAAGACCCCAACAGATCCTTCTCCTCCATTAGCTTTCTAGGGAGGGACCCCCAAGCCATAGCTTTAGACTCTCGCAGACAGCAAGTCCGGTCTCCGTGTCTCTTTCTAGTCCAGTTCCAAGACTGACATGCTAACTGTTCACCTTCTGGTCAATCTGTATGTTGAGAATTTGTCCTGATTTGGTTGTGGAGAGATGAGATAACAGTTGTCTTCTGAATGAGCATCCATCCTGAACTGCTCGTAGGGAGTTTAATTAGACAAAGTTGCATCCAGCAAGTGGCGCCCCACACTTTCCAATGAATCCCCAGGTCACTTTTCTCATAGGAAAAAGTTCGCTTTTTGAGGAGCAAGTTTCACCAGAGCTCCAAATCAGCTTTCATTGCACCCCCCCTGAATTTGCCGGTTAATGTGATTTTTTTAGCTATTGTGTACAACCCAATGTTTGTTTGTTTTTTAATGTTGGTGACTGTTGGTGACAATCTTTTGCAGATTTGTTTTCTGACCCGCTAGCTAGGCCATCTTCTGTTGAACTGATTTTCACACGTTGATCATCACTAGCCCTCCCACACTTGCCTATTATTATTATTATTATTACCTGCACATCTTGGGTTAACTCTCCAAGCCACACCAGAGTCTGCAGGTGTGGAAGCAAAAAGGAGCAATATTAGCCAGCAGGTGGCGCCAAAACACCGCTCACCGGCAGGGTGGGTGGGGGAAGCGTGTGAATGGGGATGGCAAGTACAGAGTAGAGGACTCGGAATTAAGGGTGAATGGCAGTGAAAGGAACCAATAGGGAACGGCGCTGCCACTCTGAGTCCCTCCCACCATAACCTCCATTGCCCAGTTTGGTATGAATGGATTTGCAGGAGGCTGAGTTTGGGGAGCCGAGATCTCCAATAAAGGACAAGCCAGGAGCACGCGACTTTCTCAGTTCAATCCGGTTCAGTTCAAAGAGTACTAGGCAGGCCTGGCCACACATAGTAAGCCGGTCACGGGTACCCCCAAAATCTAGATTTTGCCAACCTGGTGCTCTCCAGATATTTTGGATGATATGATGCTTTTTGCTTGTGATCCGGCTTGTGTGATGTGTCTCCCAACCCCACCTGGTTGTGGGAGTCTTTAAGGTTCGGTGCTCCTGGCATGAGGCAATTAGGACACATTTGGGATTTTGCAGGTTTATTGCCCACCTTGCTGCCCAGCAGTCTCTCTCCCTGAGCTGACAGAGCTGGTCTCAAAGGTGGTGTTGAGGACTCCCAGACTGCTGGTTTGGCGGGACATTTCAACATCCTTGCCAAGGCAATGACGACCATGACGACCATGGAGCTTTTCAGTGCTTTTTTCCGGTGGGGGGGTGACGCAGGGGTACACATACTCCTAAACATTTTGTGAATCTAAGTTTGGCCTCATTGAGGGGCAGTATTTAAATATGAAGAGGAAAATGAAAGTGCCCCTAAACATTTTTTTCTTTGTTCTTCATTTATGTAATTTTCCAGACAGTTTATCCCTTAGCACCATGTCTCTCTTTTTTTTAATTGTTGTTGTTTAGTCGTTTAGTTGTGCCCGACTCTTCGTGACCCCACGGACCAGAGCACGCCAGGCACTCCTGTCTTCCACTGCCTCCCGCAGCTTGGTCAAACTCATGCTGGTGGCTTCGAGAACACTGTCCATCCATCTCATAATCTGTCGTCCCCTTCTCCTTGTGCCCTCCATCTTTCCCAACATCAGGGTCTTTTCCAGGGAGTCTTCTCTTCTCATGAGGTGGCCAAAGTATTGGAGCCTCAGCTTCAGGATCTGTCCTAGTGAGCACTCAGGGCTGATTTCCTTAAGAATGAATAAGTTTGATCTTCTTGCAGTCCATGGGACTCTCAAGAGTCTCCTCCAGCACCATAATTCAAAAGCATCAATTCTTCGGCGATCAGCCTTCTTTATGGTCCAGCTCTCACTTCCATACATCACTACAGGGAAAACTATAGCTTTAACTATACAGACCTTTGTTGGCAAGGTGATGTCTCTGCTTTTTAGGATGCTGTCTAGGTTTTCATTGCTTGAATGTTACGTCACTTTATCTGAGGCAGCAATCCACATAACATTCTTGAACCAGTGATCTATGGCAGGTATCTTCAACCTGTTCGGTCTAAGGCCCACTTTTAGTCCAAACATGCATCTGCAGAACCACTTCTTAATCTGCTACCATATATTTGGGTGGCAGTAGTGCTCCTTGGTTTTGAATTATGGTGCTGGAGGAGACTCTTGAGTGTCCCATGGACTGCAAGAAGATCAAACTTATTCATTCTTAAGGAAATCAGCCCTGAGTGCTCACTGGAAGGACAGATCCTGAAGCTGAGGCTCCAATACTTTGGCCACCTCATGAGAAGAGAAAAAGACCCTGATGTTGGGAAAGATGGAGGGCACAAGGAGAAGGGGACGACAGAGGACAAGATGGTTGGACAGTGTTCTTGAAGCTACCAGCATGAGTTTGACCAAACTGCGGGAGGCAGTGGAAGACAGGAGTGCCTGGCGTGCTCTGGTCCATGGGGTCACAAAGAGTCGGACACTACTAAACAACTAAACAACAACAACAAAGTGCTCCTTGGGTCAGGCTGCAACTCACCAGGTGAAGACCTAGGGTATAGCAGTGTTGTGAGAGAAAAAACCTGCTCCTTTTCCCTTATGGGGTACTCAAGAGCCCATAGAGTCTTTTTGTAGGTTTTCTATCTGTAGGAGAAAATAACAGGAAGCAACCAGAGAATATTGAGAAGCAAAGCAGCTAGTAAGCCTGATCTTTATTAAAGCTGTTGCAACAGGGTGCTCCCCCACACACACGGGGGGGGGGGGCAGAAAAAAAGGTGTGCTCGCCCTTATGTAGACTTTTGAAATTGCCCACCCTCAAACTCCAGACCACCCTCAGAAACATCAAACATACATCATAGAAAGGTGGTTTCCAGCAAAATCCTGTCTGGCAGAAAACCTGTCAATGGTCACTGATTGGATCACCAGACCAGGCTGGCCATTCTTTTGCTATTACAACTACTTAATTCCTGAATCCAGGTCACAGGCTCACCCTATTCATATCTTAAATGTGCCCTTAAGGCAGGATTGGTGAGCACAGAGACAATGGGAAGGTTTTTTTCATTTCCTCCCTCCTTGCAGAGAAACATTTGGTCAGTTTGGGAGAGTCAAAATGGTTTCAGGACTGTCTTCCTGTACTGATTCAGACACGTGTGTATATTTATGTACATGTTTGCCTTGTACATTTAATTTATATATTTGAGACCTTAATTCTTATAACAGCAGGATGTATCTTTTCAGCCCTGAGGATTACTAATCGAGGGGCTACCAATGGATCTACCATTAACTGTTCACATAAAAGATCCACATTACCTTGATCAAAATTAGGAAAAAATACACAGTTTAGGGTCCAGGACCCCATAAGTGAACTGATTTCTGTAATCACTCGATCACAGAATTTCTGAACTTTGGCACGACTCCACCACATGTGCCCATAAGATCCCTGCCTCCCCACGGCCTGGGTAGCAGAAGGGAGATCCTGCCTTTGCAATGTGAGTGAAACATGTCAGGGTAAAATACCACAGATGGCTTTATGAAAATGATGTACCGATGGTATTTGACTCCTAGTAAGTTAGGAAAAATGTGTAAGGTACAAATATCTGCTGGAAATGTAAAGAAAAAAGAAGGCACCTTTTATCATATGTGGTGGTCTTGTAAGGTAATAAAAGCATTCTGGGAAATGATATATAATGAGCTGGAAAAAACGTCCAAACTAACTTTTATTTAAAAAAAAAACACAAAAAATCAAAGGCTTTTCTATTAGAAATTGTGGGTGCTGATATTCCAAGGGAGCAGAAAATACTTTTCATGTACACAGCGACAGCCGCATGGATGCTACTAGCCTAGAAATGGAAAGAAGATAAAGTTCCTTACCAGAGAAGAATGACAAATTAAACTGTTGGATTATGCCGAAATGGCAAAACTGACCAGAAAGCTCAGGAACCAAGAAGAACAAAACTTGAACAAAGAATGGGGAAAAAATATAATTTATCTTGGAGAACACTGTAAGCAAATGAAAACTTTAGCAGGATTGCAATAACACTTGTAATGTAGCAAGTACTATGGAGAAAATGGAGTTACATAAAATATGGACTGCTGAAAAATATGCATTTGAAAAGATTAACAATAGGACCCATAGAGGGGAAAGTGGGAAGTCCAGAGATTCGGAGGAATGTTTAGATGTGGATGTGTATGGTTGTGTTGTTAAAATTTTATTATTTGTAAAATCAATTTTTTTAAAAAAAACAACACCAAATACCATTGATGGAAGAATTCACCCTTATGCCGGCAGAGACCAACCTAAAGGGGGGACAGACCACATCTGCACAGCCTGGCATCACCTTTCTCACCTGGGACCTTCTGCTGGCAAGGCATGGGCTCTGCCACCGAGCTCTCGGCCTTCCCATCTTCCCACCTTAGCTGGAGAGTTCCTGTTGGTCAGGGAAGAGTCCAGCCACAGGGACCCTGTGGTCCTGGGGATGTTGCTGGCTTTCAGCTCCAAGGATAGTGGGGGCTGATAGGAGATGGAGTCCAGGCAGGGCCAGATTTAGGTTTGATGAGGCCCTAAGCTACTGAAGGTAATGGGGCCCTTTATATGTCCAGCTGTCCTTGGTCAACCACAAATTGTCGCTGTTTTTTGTGTTGAATATATGCTATATGGTAATTTATGGATCTAATGGGTATCTAACCAGTGATATTTTAGGGAGCAGGCTAGCAAGCCTTACACCATTACTTACACCAGGGGACAGCAAACTTTTTCAGCAGTTTTTTTTAATTTGTTTTTGTGTGTGTTATATTTTGGAAATGTACATCCAGGTGTTTTTTTTCTTTTAATTTTTTGGGGGGGCCCCAAGAGAGTGGGGCCCTAAGCTATAGCTTGTTTAGCTTATACATAAATCCGGCACTGAGTCCAGGAACACCTGGAAGGTAATTTCCCCCATCTTTGGAGTAGTCAGTACCGGTGATGGGAAACATGCCCTCAGGCTAGCATCCTATGAAGGCATAACCTGGGGAGAGCTGTGGTTATTTAGCAGCGGCAGAGCAAAAGATTTAACTCGCATACCCCACCTCTACATATTAAATGGCTCTTGGGCTTTCATCCAATTAAGCTCTGGCTGTTCATATGCACCAAGTGGAGGGTATACCAAGTACTGGACTTGCCTGCTGGTTGTAGCAGCTCTTTGGCAGGCAGACATCCCCACCCCCACCTTGTCCTCTTTCACTGGGGAATTCCTGGATTGCACAACCATCTCGCCAGAGTCTCCTGCCTATTGAAATCCAGGGCATTTCTGCACTGTGGAAGTGAGATGTCGTATGGCAACCTAAAATGTACACTTTTAGGACACCTAAAGCATAGATGTGCCTTTCCTGGGGGGTGTTGGGAGAAACCGTGCGTGGCAAAGTCAGGATTTCAAACATGAGTTGGTGGGGGCACCTTTGGCACTAGTAGAACAGCCAGGGAAACGGCTTCCACTTTATTAAAAAAAAAGAAATTTGCTTAATGTAAAACACATGTACCAGTTATTTCCTTTGGAATGCGGAGGGGCAAATATGCATTTCTGAACCCAGAAATGTGAGAGTTTCAAAGTTACATACATACTCTCCTACTTTAGTATTTTTAATTTTGAAAAAGTGATACAAACGTGTAATGAAGAAAGGGGAACTTTTGAGTGTTGAAAGCCAGGATGTTCTAACCAAGTGGGTTCTTTTTCCCGATTTCCAGAGAATTTAGGAAGGCTGGAAACCACACACACACACACACCCGAACCTGTTCAGAGTTCCCAGAATCCAGCAGAGGAAAGTCTGGATGAATGAAGACGAGGGTGCCTCTTAAGCATGTACAGAATGTCTTTTCATATCCACTCAGTAAGCACAAGGCTCCTCTAGGGTGGCTTCTCTAAAATATCTCCTTCAATTTGTTTCCACTTGCGTTGGGGTAAAAACAAGAAGCAGCAGTCGTGCTTCTAACGAGAGTGGTTCCATTCGTTTAGCGACTGACTAAACCTCTCAGACCAGACAGTCCCGGAGACGGAGTTTTCCAAAGAACTCAGAAGCCCCAGTTATTTCCTTTAACCCAATACCATCCCCTCCCAACCTCCTTCCCCCTGCCGTTTCCTACAGGAGCTCTTTGTATTCATTCATTCTCTATGCACCGCTCCCCCCCCCCCCCGCTTTTAAAGTAACCTTATTAAAACAAACAACCGCAGTCATTTCAGAGCAGCTTTCGGCTTCTGACATATCCCCTTTGATCTAACGTCTATTTATTAGAAATATTTTTATACCGCCCTTCGATCATATTCCCCGGGCGGTTTCCAAAAGGAAAGAAAACCCCTAAGCATAATAAACTTAAAAAGCCACAAAATCAAGGAGCAGCATGAAACAGGCTGTAGGGCTTGTTTTTGTGGGTTAAAGGAAAAACCAAAAACCTCAGCGGGACCCTCTATTTGGGGAACCCAGGCGTCCTGGCACCCAGCTCTCCCGCCTCCCAGTCCCCGGTTAAATCCAGGCGACTCGTTGCCCTGCCCAGAAAATCCACAATTTCTCGCTCTGAGCTTTTCCTGCTTTAACTTGCTAGACACCCCCCCCCCGCCTCCCTCGCCCCCTTCCCAGATCAAAGGATGGAACCCAGGAGTCCTGGCTCCTTGCCCGCCAATCCTGGCCTTCCGGATCTGCGTGGGCGTCTCTATAGTGAGCCGAGGAAAGTCTTTGGAGCTGAGTCACAGACAGACCAGCGGTTCAGTCGCTCCTTTTTCTCATCCTCGGAGGCAGGGAGAGCGGTCGAGAGATGCTGCTGCCTTTGGGAGCCGTCCTGGTGGGGCTTTTCCCCTTCCTGTGCAGGATAGCCTCGGGAGAGCCGGTTCCAGGTAAAGGGGTCTCCGGAAGCGGCGGGGTGGGATGGTTTGGAGTGGGGTCGTCTCACCCAGCCGCCTTCACAGCTATAAAGCCAAGGTGGGCAGGAGGCAAGGAGGTGAAACTTCGTCTCCCGGGCATGGAGATGGGGAGGCTGTACCGGTTGAACTTCCTCTGCCGGCTGCTAGTCCGTCGAGCTTACTACTGTCTACACTGACAGTGTAGCGGCTCTCCGTTGTCCCAGCCCCACCTGAGAATACTGGATCTTTGACGACGGGGTGGGCTAGGGATGGGGGCTGTTGGGCTCTCCCCCCGAGAACGCGAAGTGGCAAAGCAACCCAGATACAAAGGGGCCAAGCGAGTATGTCAGCTTTCGAATCACACAGAACTCCGTTCAACAGCCCTGTGTCTAGACGTAGCGGCGTTTCCATCCATTCCTCTGCGTGGGTGTAAAGCCCTCTCTTGTGCTGCTCTAACAGTTGCTCTCCAGGCAGAAGTTCAACAGGTGCAACCTTTTAAACCATTCGCGTCTGAGAGAGGGCTCGACCTGTTGAATCTTTTCCTGTAGCGGAGCTGCCAACGACACATAGCTGCGGGGACAGGGAAAGTGACGAGTCCAATGTTTGGAACGGATCCCCCCCAGCCCGGCTTAATCCACAGCAGAGGCGAAGGGGAGAGGGGGCGGGGTTCTAGCCCGCCTAGGAAAGGGAAGGCCGTCTGCCCATGCCCAGAGGCGCTTTCGACACTCACGATTTCCGCGAGTTAATGGCGCGGAGCCCCGCCCCCCGCGAAAAGAAGATCAATGGCAGAAGCGAGACTGGTCCGCGTTGGAATTTCCATGAGTTCGGTGCCACGCCCCCTCGGCCAGCGCCGCCTCCCCATTGGCTGCCTTGCGGGTGAAAGTTTCCTTTTTCTCCGCAAGTCACAAGTGAGGAAACTGGGACAGGAGAGCAGGATTCGGGCAGCGGACAATTGGGGGGTGGGGAGAGAGAAATCTGACGTCCGCTGCATCAGGCGACCCACATGGTGACTCACCCACCGGCTCCGCCCCACCGTCTCTTTCGTCCCACTTCTGGGCCCGGCGCCATCTGTTTGCTCGCTTGCAAGGGGCATATTTTATCAATGAAGTCACTTGAAAGGGGGGGAGGGGGTCCTTGTCCTCCCCCGCGCCACAACTTCGCCACGTGATGCTCTCAGTCTTGACCCCCCGATGCTCTCCTGCTGCTGCTCGGGGCTGGTTCAGGTTTCGGGGCGAAACACGACACCCCTTTCCCTACTGACGTTACCCCTCTGGAAATAGACCCTCATGTCATGGGAGGGAGGGAGGGACAGGAGAGCCTCGTGTATGGATCTTTTTCTTCTTTTTCATTCAGCTGTTAAGCGTCTTCATGTTCTGACTTGTCGCTTGATTGCTTTCATTCATTCAGCTTCTTCCTAATCGTCTTTCTCTCCCTCCCACCCCGGCTCGTTTTACAGCGCGCTCCTCCTAAGCCGCGATTTGCTCGGGAGTCCAGAGGCTGCAATGAGCCCAGCGGGCCTGGCTTCCAAAGAAGCCTGCTTGCGAATCCCAGCCCCCCCCCCCCCCAAAAAAAACCCCTTCATCTCTCCCTGAATTATAGCCTTTCCAAGCTGGTTTTGGAGGGCAGCAGAGCCAGCCAACACGGATGTCACATTCATACCACTTTAACACCCATGGCTTCCCCCCACGGAACACAGAGCCAACTCCTAGGGGCCGAGGTCCTTTCACCCCCCCTAAAATATTTGAGGGGGCCATTCCCCCCCCGAAGAAAGTTGATGGGCATTTCCTTTCAAATGGGGGGGGGTGTCGCATCATGTGATCAATTATGTGGGGCAGGGCTTACCTCCCCCCCCCTCCATATTTTATTCAAGTTGGCACCTTTGCTGGGAACCATAGCTAAGGCTGTTTGGAATTGTAGCTCTCTGTATGTGGTTAAACTACAGTTCCCAGGATTCTTGTGCTGGGGGTAGTCATGACTCTTACAGTGGTATAAACCTGCTGGATGTGACTTACCAAAACACCTGTATGTACTAGCAACATTCATTTTTTTTCAAGTTTGATGTTTCATTATGTTTTTATATATGCTGTAAGCCGCCCAGAGTGGCTGGGAAACCCAGCCATAATAATAATACCATAATAATAGTAATAATAGTAATAATAATAGCAATAATAATAATAATAACAACAACAATAACAACCACCTTTCAACAACAACCACCTTTTCCTCCGAGTAGCTCAAGGTGGTATATGTAACTCTCCCCATTTTATCCTCACCACAACCCTGTGAGGAAGGTTAGGCTGATACAGATGTCAGTGCTTCCACAGCCAAGAGACTCCTGCCTAAATTTTCCTTTTCTCTCCCCCCCCCTCCAGCTTCCGTGTGCTCCGGAGGCCAGTCTTGGAGCCCAGACCTGGAAAAATGCATGGACTGCTCTGTCTGCCAGCGTCAAAACAAGAATGACTTTTGCACCACATGTGAGTGGCCGGCACCAACCCTTACCCACCATGCACTGGGGCGGGAACCTTGGGTTGCTCCAGCTGCATTGACTTCATATATCAACAAGCCATTTGTGAGAGTAGAACTGGGATGGGTGGGGGGGATTGAGGGCAGGAAACCAGGAATGGTAGCTTTCCGCCTGCAAGGGTGATCTGCACCGAACCCCTCTCTATTTCATGCCCCTCCTTCCATTGCCTTCACAACAGCCCTTTAAGCCAGGCTATAAGATAGTGATGGGCCTGGGTGTCACCCTTCCACCCAGCAAGCTTTATGGCTGAATGGAGATTCGAACCCGGGCCCTAATCTAACATTCTCTACCCACTACACCGCACTGACACTGAAGGGTGCAGGACTCTGTGCACGGCAGGTGTAGAAAAACTGGCATGAATCCAGGGAGAGGAGGACCAAATATCAAATGTACATAGAAAGAGATCTTCATTGCATTAAACAGAATTTGAAAAACATTATTTTTTTCGTTTGGGGGTTTGTTTTGCTTCTCTTCTCCCTGCACCCCTGCTCCTCCCAGCTGGCATAAGTATGTGCTGAAATCTGCTCCCCAAAAAGCCTGCGGCTTGAAAAGAAAAAGATCAGCGACATTCCCCAGCCTGAATTCGAAGCTGAGATTTGCAACTTTTTATTTTTGGCACCGTTTCGTTCCTCTTCCAGCCGTGGGTCAAGCAACTGGCCTTGTGGGAAATGGTTTAGCAGGAAGGAAAAGGGGATGTTGTTGAAGACAAGTCTGGTTCAAATTGTGAAGAGACTCTCGTCTGAGGGGAGCCCCAGGAAGAAGTGCTGGGATCAGAAGCGGATCAGGCTTTCGGGAAACTCAGCTAAGTTTAACCCTTCCCTCTCTCTTCTCTCTGGCAGGCGGAGACCCTCAACTCCCAGACAACTTCAATATGTGGCTTATGGTGGGAGCATCTCTGGGCGCCTTAACTCTGGCGGTTTTGATAGGTGGCATCATAATCTACGCCCGCTGCCGACGGCGGGAGAAATTCACCAGTAAGTCGCTTCTTTCCCGTTATCTAACCCTAAACTCGAGTCTTTCCTGGGAGCATCTCGACAACAGAGCCCTCCCCGCCCCCCTGCACTTATGGCTAAACTTTGCCTTCTCTATTTCCAGCACCAATTGAAGAGACTGGAGGCCATTCAGCTCAGGAATCGCTGATACACTGAAGGTAAGAACGGATGCTTCCAATCTGTAACCACAGCTCCATCCTACCCCACTCGCTTCTGCCAGTTGCATTAACTTAGCATCTTTCACTTAAGCATCTTTCAAGAGCTGTAGGGGGAAAGCTGGGTAATGTGTCCAGGCTTTTCCTCTTCCTCCATTCCCATAATCCCAAAACTGGGTTTGAGAAAACGACAACGTGCGTTTGCAGGAGTATTTATTAAATTAGCAGGACAGATGGTTGCAAATAGGGTTTTCTTTAACAAGGCATAGATTCAGTTGTGGGGATCATAGAATTGTAGAGTTGGAAGAGATTCTGACTGTGATCTAGTTCAACGCTCTGCCATGCAGGAATATGAACTGAAGCATCTATGACAGATGGCCACCCAGCCTCTCAGCGTCCAGCTCTCCCGGGTGGTTGTTTCTCAAATCTCAACCCTTGGTGGGGTGTATTTTTATCTGAGAAGTAAATAAATCCTGCCCTTTCTCAGGGCAGCGTAAACGGAACTCTCTGCTCTGTAACCCTCACAACAGCTCTGGGAAATAGGATACCCTGAAAGATGGTGTCTGACCCAAAATTACCCAGTATGCTTTGGACCTGGGTCACTCTTAAGCCCACCTTCCCCAACCTGGATATGATGGGAGTCTTATAGCCAGGATGGCTGAGTGGCCTAAGGCGCTAGGCTCAAGTTGCAGCCTCTCGCCTGGAGGCACGTTTTTGAATCCCGCTTCTGACAATACATATCGTATTTTTTGCTCTATAAGACGCACTTTTTCCCCTCCAAAAATTAAGGGGAAATGTGTGTGCGTCCTATGGAGCGAATGCAGGCTCCTTGGCTTCAGCGAAATCAACGCAAAGCCTCTGGAGTGCAGAGGGAGCACTCCCTTCGTGCTCCGGAGGCTTTGCGTTGCTTTCGCTGAAGCCTGGAGAGCAAGACTCTCCTGGCTTCAGCAGAGAGCGAGAGCTGCACAGCACCCCTTCAGCGAAGCAGGAGGGGCTCCGTTTCTCCTGCCGCTTCGCTGAAGGCGCACTGAGCAGAGAGGGGGAGAATTATTTTTTCTTGTTCTCCCCCTCTAAAACTGGGTGTGTCCTATGGTCAGGTGCGTCTTATAGAGCGAAAAATAAGGTATTTTTACATGGAAGCAGCGCTCTGCCTCCTTGGTCTTGCTTGCAAGCATCTGGGTGGCCACTTTAAGAACAAGATGCTGAACTAGATGAGCCCCTGACTTGATCCTGCAAGGGCTCGTCTTGCATTCTTACTTGAATAACACCTGGAGGTCAACAAATTTGTCTCCAGGCCTTTGACAATCCATTTTTTACATTCATTCTTTTCTCTCCCGCCCCACAGATCATCTTGGTCGACATTTCAAGTGCAAGAGAAGAGATACATCCAGCCTCTTCATTACCTCTGACTTTTCCTGAAGAATCCGGACAGGACGTTTTCCTTTGGCCCTGCAGGGGCCTTACACTTTTGCACACATGCCAACTGACTCACTCACTCACTCACACTTGGGGGGGGGGGGAGTGGTGTGTGGGGAGGTCTTCCGCCTTCTTAACCTTCTGTACATTTCGGGAAAGGAAAAGAAAAGTATTTGTTTTCCCCCTTTGGAATGGCGCATCCGTCTCCCTCTAAATTTTTCAGTGTTAGGGGAGGAGCAAAAGGGGTGGGGTGGGAAATGCCTCTCTTTTTCCCTCCGGTGCCCCACGATCTTAATGCCCCATATTGGGGAGATGAAATTTCATGCTGGGGAGTCAGCTGCAGAGAGAGATTTTCAGCTGCCAAGTCTTCCCAGCTAGGTCACTTTTTGCTAGGAAGGTCACGGCATCGCCTGTGCCGTTTCCCACTGCGAAGCATCTTAGGGCTAACAATGAATGTGATTCTTAGATTATCTGTATATAGAGAAGTCTTATTTGGGTGCTAAGGCTCTCCAGGAGAGCAGCAGGGACTGTCTTTTCAACTGAGCCTCTTGCGCGGTGGCTGGGCCACGACGCAAGGAGCCACAAGACCCCCAACTACCCTCAGTTCTTCCTGTTTCTCCTCTGCCCTTGGTGCTCGAGCAGAGAGACACTGCTATTTATATCTCTAACGTTTAATTTTATGGGTGTGATTTTCAGGCACGGGGAGAGGGGTGGGGAACAGCATGTCGTTTCATGAACCAGAGTTTGTGGATTTAAATAAAAAATAGAATTAATTATCGATGAAACGAGGGGTGCTTTATTTTGGTTACGAAAGTGTGGCGGCAGGACTGAATACGCGACAGCATTTTATGTGGGCAACTCCCCATTTACACGTGTGTCACCCAAACCCAGAATTGGCACTTAAGGTGGAAAACAAAAATGGCGCAGAAACAGTGTCTAGCAATCCCACGAGCATTTGCAAGTCCAATCCCAAGAGTGCTGCTGGTTTCTCAAAGGGTTTCCTTTAAGAAGGGTTTCCAGAGGCTGAGAAGGTGTTTGCAGGATTTTTCAATGGTGTCCGCCATATACACGATTTCACTTAAACGTGTGATGCCTTGGAACGTAACCCCTGCATAAATGGGAAGCTGCCTGAATTATTCTTATTTTGAGTGCTCAGAGCATTATGTATATAATGAATGAGGAATCCTTACAGCAGAAGTGGGCGGTCTGTGGGCCCCCCAACTCCCATCAGTCCCAGCCAGTGAGGCCAATGGGTCAGGGATGACAAGAGATGTCATCTAGGAACACCTGGAGGGCCATTGGGTTCCCTGTCCCTTGCCGTATAACAACACTGTCAGGTGGATGAGAATGAGGAGGACGTTGCAGCCAGGGGGGCTGCAGGTCTGACTTGCCTGAATTGTCCCCATTCCTTGGACTAGGAGGGGAACCAGAAGGCAGCACAGCTCAACTGGCAAAGCCAGTTTTTGGGTCCTGAAGCTTGAACTGCTATGGGGGCCCCTTCGCAACCAACAATGAGGTCTGGGTAACCCTTGTTACCTTCTTCAAGGGGGTTGTTCCATGGCAGATCACCACTACTGACTCCCAAACTTTGGGGTTGTTGAATTAGAGACAACAACAAAAACAATCCGTTTGAGTTGTGTGACTCAAATTGGGTCTACTAGAAACATCATTTTATGTCGCTTTTGGGGTTCCCTCTGGGATTAGGGGCCCTGATCATGGACACTCCTGTAAAAAAAAGGGAAAATACTTGCCCAGTAGTGATGTATGGAAGTGAGAGCTGGACCATAAAGAAGGCTGATCGCCGAAGAATTGATGCTTTTGAATTATGGTGCTGGAGGAGACTCTTGAGAGTCCCATGGACTGCAAGAAGATCAAACCTATCCATTCTGAAGGAAATCAGTCCTGAGTGCTCACTGGAAGGACAGAACCTGAAGCTGAGGCTCCAATACTTTGGCCACCTCATGAGAAGAGAAGATTCCCTGGAAAAGACCCTGATGTTGGGAAAGATGGAGGGCACAAGGAGAAGGGGACGACAGAGGATGAGATGGTTGGACAGTGTTCTCGAAGCTACCAGCATGAGTTTGACCAAACTGTGGGAGGCAGTGGAAGACAGGAGTGCCTGGCGTGCTCTGGTCCATGGGGTCACAAAGAGTTGGAGATGACTAAACAACTAAACAACAACATCATTCTCATTTCCCCCAAAGAGTCCCTTCTTCCCTGCCATTCCCTGGCTGCCTCAAGCTGAGCTCTGGCCCTTTTCAGGCCTTGAGTGGTCCCAGATACACAGTGCAGAATCAAATCACTTGAAATGACTGGAGCTTTCTTCCCTTTGGATGGGGAGGGAGGGCATGGTTGGGAATGCAGCTGTTTGGGTGGTTTCCTGTCTTCCTTTACATCCAGAGCGTAGCCTGAAGGCACCTTGATGTAGCTCTCTCCTTAGGAACGGAGCAGGCCTGAACTTGGCCGCTGCTCAGATGGGAGACGGCGTGAGCTGCTGTCGGCACTTTGAAAGGCTGGGGCTGGATGTTGTAATTGCCTTTAATTAGCTTCCTCCGCAGACAAAGCACAGCGTCTAATGGATGACTACCTGCACTCATGGAAATTGTGCTTGCACCCCATTACCTTTCTGGGGCGTATCTCACTCAGTGGCTTCTTAGATGTGGCTGGGCCGCCTCCCAGCTCCCCAGCTCTCATCATAGGACTTCTTCTAGGTTTCCCATCCCCCCCTTGTGCACCTGGAAGGCTACAGTCTCCCAGGTGTACCTGCCTGTTCTTTTCAAAGGTCAGCAGAGGCCCTGCTCTGCGTAGCTGCACCTTCAAATGACAGGCAGGTAATGGCGGCCGGCGGGGCCTTAGTAGTGGTGGCACCTCGTCTTTGGTGGTGCTTTCTCGCCCGGTAACATTGGCTCAGCAGCACCCGCAAGAGTAGCGTTTGCACACCAGGCAGCAACTTGTTCTGATTCCCTGAGCAGTGATGTCTTTGCTACAGTTGCTTCTTATTACAGCTTCTCCAATTATTACTATTATTATGAGGGTCTGTACACATGGTGGCTATCATACATACAAACCCTGCTTGCATATATAGGACTGCAGCCACGGTTTAATTTTCTCCCGATGCTCATCTCTCAGCTCGGTTGGTTAGAGCGTAGTGCTGATAACGCCAAGCTTGCAGGTTCGATCTCCGTATGGGACAGCTGCATTGCAGGGGGTTGGACTAGATGACCCTCAGGGTCCCTTCCAACCATACAATTCTATTATTCTTATTTTTTTTTACCACGCTGTGTCTCCTAACACTCTGCTTTCACTTGTTCTTCCTTTATTCTGACGTTGGGATCACTTGGAAGACGGCCAAGTTGCGGCAGGGGGAGGCCCTGTAGGTAAGGAAATGCTTATTAACCAAGCCACATAACCATTAAATGCTTCTGCAATCTCCCGGCTCTCCCCCGGCTCTTCTTTTCTTTAATTTTCTTCTTCACTTCCCGATTTCTGTCCTTTAAAAGCCTTTGGCTGGGTCCTCCCCCATAATTTCCTTTCTCCTCTTCTCCCCCCCCCCCACCTCTCCCTGTGACTCACCCTCTCCCTCTCTTTTCCTTGCACTTGCCCTTATGGCCTTGCTGGCTGAACATTCCTGTCCCCTTAGTTCATACCAGCCTGTCCGCTGACACCACCCAGTGAGTCATCTGAAGGTGGTGGGGCAGCTTGAGCCAGAGAGGGAGGGAGAACATGACTTGGGAGGGGGGGCAGAGAAAGCTCTCAACACCTGAGCCTCCCTCCAACTCCAGAGATCAGTCCAAAGTCTGCTACAAAAACCCCTTCAATCAGTCTAGTCCCCCCCCCCCCAGAGATGTTGTCTGTGAAGCAGATCAAACCAACTCTATTTAAACTCTAAGGTGTGTGAGATTTTTAAAAACAAAATAAAAATGAGGTGATGTTGATCCACTGAGAGAACGTCTGTTCTGTATTGTAAGAGAGCTTAATATAGCTCAGGGATCGACAAGTGTAACTTCATAGCAGCGGAGCTCAGAACTTCAGCAGCAAAGAACTTGAAGAGGCAAGAACAATTTAAAAAAGCAAAATCTTAAGAGTGTCTTAAAAAAGAAAATGAAGCTACAACTGGCCCTAGCTAGCCCTGGTCTCTCTGGGAATAAGAAGGGGGGTGGGATGTTGGTCACCGGTTGCTTTAAAGCATCATGGGGTTCAAACAGCTGAAATAGATGACACTCTTTTCTGTGGACCGAAGAAAAAAGATTGCTTAATTATCAGTTCTTGTCTGCTTCCAGATGGCCTGCTTATTGAGCATACATGATCCTGAGATGTTTACGGGTTGGTGAGGCTACACTGGCTATTTTCATCCTGATTTGTTTGTGGGGAGGTTAAATGTCATTACTGTATCCCACATTTTCCAGTCTCTTTCCCCATCCCTTTCCTTATTGCAAACTGTCAGGTCACTGCTGGGTAAATATTCTCCATTGTAATGGTGCAACCTGAATTTGCCAGTATGTGGTTGAATCTCACCCCAAAATAGCAGCAGTCTGAAAGTGCCCTTAGTAATGTGGGTAAAGGACCACTTTGATCAGGTTGAATTGTGGAAGGGATCAAATAAGATAGGTAAAAGTAAAGGACCCCTGGACGGTTAAGTCCAGTCAAAGGTGACCATGGGGTTGCTTTCAGGCTAAGGGAGCCGGCGTTCGTCCACAGGCAGCTTTCCGGGTCATGTGGCTGGGACACCGTGAGTGCACAGAAACACCATTTACCTTCCTGCCGCAGCAGTACCTATTTATCTACTTGCACTGGTGTGCTTTTGAACTGCTAGGATGGCAGGAGCTGGGACAGAGCGACGGGAGCTCACCTTGTCATGGGGATTTGAACTGCTGACCTTCCAATCGGCAAGCCCAAGAGGCTCAGTGGTTTAGACCACAGCTCCACCTGCATCCCCACTGAAGGATACAGAGTTGAACAATCACTCTTGTGTTCATGAGGAACTTTAGGAATTGTAGCTCTGTGAGGGGAATACTGGTCTCCTCAAATCTCTCAGCACCCCTAGCAAACTACAGTTGCCAGAATGGTTTAATGAGTGTTGAAAGTCGTATCTCAGTGTTATAAATGTATGGTGTGAATGCGGCCTAAGAGAGATGGTTCAGCATTCTCCAACATACAGTGGTACCTCGGCTTAAGTACCGTACTTAATTCGTTCTGGAGGTTCGTTCTTAACCTGAAACTGTTCTTAACCTCAGGTACCATTTTAGCTAATGGGGCCTCCCGCTGCCGCTGCTGCGTGATTTCTGTTCTCATCCTGAAGCAAGATTCTTAACCCAAGGTACTATTTCTGGGTTAGCGGAGTCTGTAACCTGAAGCGTATGTAACCTGAAGCGTATGTAACCTGAGGTACCACTGTACAGTCATACCTTGGGTTACAGATGCTTCAGGTTGCATTTTTTTCGGGTTATGGATGCGCCAAAACCCGGAAGTACCAGAATGGGTTGTTTCCAGGTTTCAGCGATCGCGAATGTGCAGAAGCGCTAAATCACGCTTTGCATATGCGCAGAAGCGCCGAATCACAACCATTGCGTACGCAGATGCGGCGCTGTGGGATGTGAACGCGCCTCCCACATGGATCACGTTCGCAACCCAAGCGTCCACTGTACATCCAACTCCCAAAATTTCTGGGTTGAAGTGTCAAGTGTTCTGCTGCCCTCTGCCTGGGAAGCAAACCCTTTTCATGCATTATTTTGGCCAAGGCAAAAATGTGGGGCCAATCACCCCACAAGTGACATCCCTA